TTGGTGAGGGCCCTCCTTGGTGAGGGTGCTCCCTTAGTGAGGGTGCTTGGGTAGGTGTGGGCAGAGGGACTAGGTTAGGAACTGCCAGACTCACCTCCTTTTTTCTTTTGATGTCCTCTCCTCTGTAACCTCAATTATGTGTGTCCCCTATGACTCATCAATGTCATTTTCTTTTCCTACCCCATCCCTTCTCATGGACTCACTCCATCCCTACCCCCTCACTGAACCCCTGCTATGGATATGCCTGCTCACCACTGCTCTCCCTTCCTCTCTTCTGGATGCTGTTCTCTGTCTGCCCACCACCCCCTTCCTTAATTCTCCCCTTCTCACAGAGACCCTGTCAGGCCGGGGGGCCCCAGGGGACTACGAGGAGATGATGCAGATCGAGTGTGAGGTCATGGACACCAGGGTGATTCACATCAAGACCTCCACGGTGCCCCCCTCGCTCCGAAAGCAGCCATCCTCGACCCCAGGCAATGCCACAAGTGGGCCCCTGCCAGTTTCTACAGCCAGCCAGGCCCACCAGGCCTCCCGTCGGCCCCTCTACCTCAGTCACCCCTGACCTCTGCAACTTACACCGACTTAGAGATGGGGGGTGGGAGGTAGGGGTGACCAAATGGGACTGTTGCTGAGTTCCCAGATCCCCAGGCTTGGGGCAATTGGTAAAGGAAAAACAGTGTGGGGGTTAAGCACTTATTTGAGGGTGAGGGTCCTTACCTCTCTTCTTGCCCCCTTTAGAATATAAGGCCCCTCTCATTTCTCTGAACCCCCAGTCCCCGCTTCTTTCTTTGAGGGTACTGAGTGAAGTTTAAGGAGTAAGGCTCCTGCATACTCCTTATTCTCTGTTTCTCTGGGGGGAGGTGGGAATTTAGTCCCCAGGCAGGACAAGGGATGTTTTTACATTTTGGAGCTAGTTGCTGGGAGTAAAGGAAGGGTGGTAGAGGGAGATCAGGTTTATGTATGTGCATATTTTTCTTTTTAATAATAAATAAACAACTTGGAGGGAGTTGAAGGAATGGTGACCGCCTTCCTGGCTCATAATGGGGAATTTGGGGGAAGTGGCTCCTATGGGCCAGTGGATCGGAGAACAAGCACTGAAGACAGCTGGGTCTGGGATGGGGTGGGTGTGGGACCGCAGACCTCGCTTCGTGCCCCTTGCCTCCGCCCCCGCAGCACTGGAGTATGCCTGTGTCTGTAGGACCCTGGGGGAGGGCTGTCCCATGCGTGACAGCCCCGAGGATACAGATGCCTGGAATGTGTCTGAATAAACAGGAAGGACAGAGCCCCACACCCTTTGGGGTGAGCAGCCTCCCTAGATCCCCTTTATTTTAGCAGGTTCTCCCTCCCCTTGATGTCCAAGAGGAGCAATTTTAACAAACAATAGAGCTGGGGCCAGAGGGCTGGGAGCCCAGAAAGGGGGGCCCCAGTGGAGGGGGTGGTGGAGGGAAGGGGAACATCGAGGACCATCTTCTTAGCCCTAAACTAGAGGAGACTGAGACTTGAGAGTCTAATCAAAAGAAGAGGATGAGAGCAGGTCAGGCAGAAAAGGCTTTGCTTTCGAATTAGGAGGAAGGGGAGCAAGACAGAGGGTGAGGGGCCAGATCTCACTGAACCTGGGGGTCCCTGTCACCAGCTCCAGTCCAGCAGCACCTCCGGCCTGGCCCTGCAGGAGTGTTCTGGGTCAGCTAGAGGGTGTGGGCTGGGCCTGGGCATTGAGCCCAGACGACTGGACAGGGGCCGCCCGGGCCCCGGGCCCAGGCCCAAAGGAGGGGGAAGGACCTCACGTGTCTAGCCAGGCTCCCCCACTCCCCGTTACTGTGTTTGGGGTGGAAACAGACTGAGTAACCATGGTGGCCTGGAACAAGGGTCCCCAGGAACTGGGCCTCTCCCCCCTCCAGAGGGCAGCCCCAGCTCGTCAGCCTTCCCGCCTCGAGTCCCTCGGGCAGTGCATGGCCTCGTCCAGACAGTGAGCACAGAACGAGGACTTTGGAGCCACACCACCCGAGCTGGGTCCCCTGCTTTATCTTTATTAGCGGGTGTCCTTGATAGTGTAACAAACACCCTGAGCCTTCGTTCCCTCAGCTACAAAATGTGATGCTCCTACCTACTTCTCAGGGTTGCTGTGAGCATGAAAGATGCTGTTCACAGGTCCTGGTCCATAGTAGACGCACCTTTCCCTCCTCCCTTGCTCCTTCCTCTCCATTTACATTGTCCTATCCTCTAGTCCTCCTCTGTTCCATCTGGGTCCATCACTGTTTCATTGTCCCGTTGGTCCTCTCTCCGGGTCTCGGCTCAGGAAGGTGTCTGATGTGCCGGCATCTCAGTCTGGGAGCTCTGGAGTGGGGCATGCAGTGCCTCTGGCTGCGTGGCAGGAGACAGCTGGCACTTTGGTGTGAACTGGTGTTCACTCTCTCAGCCAGGGAGCAGGGTGGTGGGAAGACTTTGGTGTAAGAGTGATGGTGCAGGCATGGCAGGTGGTGGCAGGTCAGGCTCTGGGCTGCACCCTCCAGGCCCACATGGCTCTCCAGCCACAGCTCCACCCGAGGCCACCTCAGCCTGCTCGCCACTGTCACTCCTGTGCCTCCTGTTGGCCCTTCCTGTCCCAGGCCCTCCTTGTCTTTCTGTGCTGCTTTCCTTCCCAGAACCCTTCCTTCTTTGTTCCTCCTGTCATCCCTGACCCATTGTCTCTCCCTCTTCCCTTCCTCTAGATTTTTTCCCTGCCTTTCTTTGCCCTTTACTCCACCACAAGCCATCCCTCACCTGCTCTTTTTGACCTTTTATTCTTTGTTCATCTTTTTGTTTCTTGCTTCTTTTCTATTTTTCCCTTCCTCTCCCTCTGCCTCACTCTCTTTTCCCTTTCTTTTTTCTTGGTCTTCTCATCTCCTGCTGCTGACCCTGTGCTCACCTCCCCTCTTTCCACGCTACCCCCTGTTTCCCTTCCCACCCCTTGGTCCACGTTCCTCATCCCTTTCCATCACTTCCTCTCCCCCCGACTGGCCCCCCTTCAGGCCCTCCCTTCCCCCCCTTCCCTCCTCCAATCCTCCCTCCTTTTCCCAGCTGTGGGGGCCAAGACTGCAGAGCCTGATGCTTGCCTCATCGTTCTGCTATGGCTTCTGGATACAGCACATCTGGATTCCAGGGCCCAGATGTGTGGTTGCCACAGCGACCCCAGTCCCTCTGGTAAATACGGGCGCCCACCCACCCCAGAGTAGAGAACAAAACAATTGTGTGACTTCTTTTGTCACGAGATAGAAATGTCCTCCCTCCTCCCTTCTCCCCACACCCGCATCTCCAGGCAAAGCAAGTTTTAAGGGTCCAAACCCTTCCTTTAATGGCTCCTTTGCTCCCTTTTCACCCCTAGCCTTAGTTCTTGCCCATCTTTCATATCAGACTTAGTCTTTTCTGTCCGTGTTTCCCCATTCTCACTATCTCCCATCCCAGTTCCCAACAATGAAATGTTGAACCCCCATCTTGTACTTGGCAATTTCTTCTGAGTCTACATCATAACGCTGCAGAAAGAACTTTCAGAACTCCATATCGTCTGCTCTTGCTTCTCAAGTTCTTCCAGAAGCCTCTTTGTTTCTGCCTGAAGTCTTCAATCTCTCCAGGATGTTCTTGGAGGAGGGAAGAGAATACAGGCTTTGGAATCAGAAAACCTGGGTTGAGCCACTAGCAAAGTCTGTTGGACAGGTCATTTAATGCCTGTGAGCCTGTTTCCTCAGCCGCAAAGTGGGACTAATAAAATGCCTGCATAAAACCAATAAAGAACACTGTGTAGGAGAGTGTTTTGTCAGCGGAAGCCCAGGGCAAACTTTTTCTCTCTTCCTCTCTCCGGGACTGCTGTCTTGGACCAGAGCCCCTGGCCTCTCTGTCCTTCAGGTCCCTGCCCTTAAATGCCCTTACTCTTCTTTATCTTCCTTCACTTCCCTTCTCTTTGTCTTCCCCTTTCATTTCTTTCTATATATCTTACCTCTTCTGAAGTCAGGACAGGAACTGCAAGGGTCATGCAAGATTGGGAGCCCAGAGCTGAAGACACCTAGGACAGCCAGAGCACGTGGACGGTTCTCGGCAACACCCTGACCCTTCTACCCAGCAGCCTGGACACTTCAGTGAAGGCAACCCACCTCTGACCACTAGGTTTCCCTGCCTTCACGCCCAGGGCTCCCTACCAGACACTCCCCATCCTTCCTGCCCTTTCGCAATTCAGTAGTGACAAGCATTTATTAGGCACCTGCTCTGTGCAAGGCCTGGTGCTTTTCTGATGAGATGCAAACAGATAAAACACAAGCTCCTCCAAGAACCTGAAATCCAGGGGGTGAATCAAATTTTAGACAGTGGTTATTTCAGAATCTGAAACTATGTCTGTCAGCTTCCAGTGGCTTCCTCAAATGCCTTGTAAGCTTGTAAATGTCTGTGAGCCCTTTCCTCTTCTCCAACTGCAGCGTCCTATGTCTCCCTAGCAGAGGACTGCCAAAACATCCCAGGGCCATCACCCCAGGTCGTGCTTCTCTCCAGGGTCTCCCAAAATATCCCAGGGCCATCACCCAAGTTGTGCTTCTCTCCGGGGTCTCCTGGCCACTCTCAGGGCCAAGTACACTTATGGTGGCCAAGATAAAAGGACAAAAAAAGTGGCTGCGGCCATGGGACAGAATTACTGAAATTGGGGGCTATCAGAAAATACCCATCCTCTGTGCAGGCTGCTCTCCCCATGTAATGCTATTTCAGACCCTCCCTCGCCCTCTTGTCTACTTTACCCCAAGCTCTGCCAGAAGATCTGAGGGAAGCTGTTACCTACTCTGGGAGCTTCAGGCCAAGGCAGAGGAAGGAAGCTGAGCCCAGCTCCGTCCAAGATACTGACTTCATCCTCCCTGTCAGAGCCAGGAAAAAAACAGCCACACACACACACACACGGACACACACGGGGACACCCACGCGAGAGCCCATGCAAGCCCCTGCCCCCCAGCCACAGGGAGGTAACTGGCAGCTGACCCAGCCACATGCTGTACCAGTGTACCCTGACCAGGAATACCATGCAGAGACTAAGGGGCTCTGCCCTGGGGTAGACACCTGCAACCCAAGTGACAGAATCAGGCAGATACAGGCTCCTGCATGTCTCTCTCACCCATCACTTGTGATTTGGCTGAGCAACTCCTCAGTGGTGAGGTTTGTAGTAATGTAGTAAGAACTCCATTCTCACTGTGAAACCTGGGGTGGGGTCTCCCTCAGCCTGGATTTTTCTTTGTGGCAAAGGTTTTGTCAGCCCCTCATCAGGGCAGCAAGCTCTTGGGGAAATGAGGCCAGCGAAATAGCCAGCAACCTTATGCATCTACAGGGTGTCTGCCACCCTGCCCTCTGGTGTCAGTCTTCCATCTGCCTGAGGTCAAAGTGACCTTTTCCTGCAGTACCTAACTCTCCCTGCCCCTGCTTCTCCTTCTGCTCCCCTGCAGCTCCCAGACATTAGCCCCTTCTGCTTTCCACAACTCCACTCCACCATTCGTGCCCCACCCCCATATTGGCCTCCAGCCTCGAGCTCTTTATCCATCCCTAAACCTCTGTTCTAACCTCCAGGCTTCCCTTCTCCATCTTCCCTGAACCCCAACATCCTTCCCAAATCTCATACAGGACATAGGAGCCCTTGACCAGCCAGTGCCCAGGCCTCACCTGTCATTCCTCTAGGAATTTGCTGAGGTGGGAGAATGAAAAAAGGGCCATGATCCTGAGCCGAAAACAGAAGGTGGACTGAGCAGAACAGACAGGAAGAGGCAGCTCAGGGACAGTGCAAGCAGGTAAGGAGAGGGAGAGACAGGGACACAGGTGGGTGCAATGGGACTAGGCAGGGGTGGGGTGGGAATGGCAAGTCCCAAAAGAGGCCCCGTGGTGGAGAGGAATCTGGGCTTGGGAGGGAGGTTTCTTCTTGGCCCCCCACTTCGAGGAGAGAGTTGGTGCGGGGACGAAGGAGTAGGTACTGGGCAACAGGCAGACAGGCAAGATCCAAGCTGGAGCAATGTGGCACCTGGGGAGAGGCGGGAGGGTAAGCCCTAGGGAGAGAGAAGAGAAAGGGGCTGGCCATGGGGAAGGGTATTGGTTGGAGGAGAAACCTGTCAGAGAACCGAAGCAACAGGTGGGGAAATGGTGGGAAGAAAGGAGAAGTGGGGTAAGGGATAGGGGAATGTCAAGTTGGGCAAAATAGGGTGGAGAGGAAGAGTAAAAATGTGATGGGGAAAAGATGTGGGAGGTAGGACCAGGGATGGAGGGGGCCAGATGATGGTATTGTGGGACTCAGCAATCCCGGACAGGGAGTGGGGGCGGGTGTGATGGGAGGAGGTGAGGAGGGGTGGCATATGGTGACTTAGGGAGGGCCTGGCTGGGTGGGAGGGCTGGGAGGACCTGCCCTATCTTCCCTCCCCTCCCCGACCTTGATCTGGTCCTCCCCTTCTCCTCCCCCTGCTCACTGCAGGCTCCCTCCTTCCTGCTGTTGCTGCCGACACCGACGGTTGGGTCGTGGTTCAGTGAGCCCCTGTTGCACGGAACAAGGAAGGGGACCTCCAGGGAGCTCAGGACTGCTCGGCTTAGCTAACCCTGCACTATCCCAAGAATCCCCCTCCCAACGTCGGGGACAGAGCAGGTGCAGACGTTGCTGAGGTAAGGGACAGAGCCCTGGGGAAGCCAAGGGAAGAGCTGGGAGAGGTGGCATTTTCTGTCCTATCCCAGCACCCCAGATGAAGGTATGGCAGGAGAGCTCTCAGGAGAGCCTCTGAGAGTAGGGACTTTCTGCTGGGACAGAGGACTGGACTCCCTGTGGACGGTATGTCAGGGAGGACGGATCATTGTGTGTGTGTGTGTGTGTGTGTGTGTGTGTGTGTGTATGTGTTGGGGTGGATGCCGGGGTTTGGACAGGATCAGGCGGTGGCACCAGGGTGGAGGTGGTTATCGGTGAGGTGGGGCTCCAGGCCCAGAGGTGCTGTGACTGAGGGAACCAGCAGCTGGGCTGAACTGGTGGCCCGCTGAGCCTCAGGAGGGAAGTGCCGTGGGACCTGAAGTGCTGTGCCTTGAACAGCTGAGCCAGAGATGTGGGCCAGCGCTGGAGGACACTGCTCTGGGCATCCAGGAGGGGACTCCCCAGGTTATAGTACAGGGGTTTCAGGGCCTGGGAGGGAGTTCTGGGGGTCTTGGGCCTTTAGGAAATACTGAAAATGAGCAGAGTTTGGACTCCCAGATCTGGGAAGGGCACAGAGCCCGAAGAGAGGATCCTAAAACTTGTTCTTGGCTGAGAGCTTTGCACCCATGACTCACGGTTCAGCAGGGCTGGGATGACAGACAGGCCTCCAGAGGCACAGGGGCTCCATCTTCACGCCATCCTGCTTCCAGGCTCTCCCTGTGCCTGTCTGAACACCCCCTACACGTGACACGCCCCGGGTGGGGCGGGCGGGCCCCTTATCTCGCCTGGAAAGAATTTAATGGCTTGGAAACAACGGGAAATGGAACTGAGAAAGGAACTCCTGGGAAACAACTGAGAAACACCGCAGCTGCCACTGTCTGCTTCCAGTCCCTGCCCACTTCCCCGACCTGTAGCCACCTCCCCTCCTCCCCTGGCCCTACCTCCAATGGCTGGGGACCCAGCACCTCAATTCCTCCACCTTCCTTCCCTTTGAGCCTTGGTCACTGGGTGCAGACCAGAACCTGTCCTCACTGCCCCCTGACTCCTCACTGTGGGGCCAGAAATCCTTTCTCTTAATTTTTCCATTCCTCTAGCCCACTAGCTCCCCAGAATAAGGGGCTTCTGGATCCCTCAACTTTCCCCTCCCTGGCATCTCCTTGCTACCTGGTTTCAACCCAGTGTCTGGAATCCCTTCATCACCCTCCTTCTCACACTCCTGGAATCCTACCTTCACTCCTCCTGTAGGCTGAGAGGCAGAAAGAGGCATGGGGGAAGGTGCCAGAATCCCCCATCTCTGGAACATCTTTAGTGGAAGCCAACCCCTCTCCCCACTTCTCAGGACCTACCGTCCCTGATGAGTAAAGTGTCAAAGTTGGCTACAGCAGGAATACCCCTTGAGCTGAGTCAGAGCTTGAGAAGATGCCACTACCTCTGCCAGCCTCCAGTTATGGGGAGGATGCCAAGAGGATGAGGCCATATTCCCCCCAACTTCAGAAAGGCGCCCCAGACACAGCAGCAAGGGGGATGGTGAGGGGGAAACAAGAGACACCCAAGTTCCTTGCTTTCCTCATTCTACGAGAAAAGCAGAATTCTTCCAGGAGTTGGAAGTGGGGCACTGGAGTGGTGCTGGGGATAGGGGAGGAGGCTCTGGAGGTGTGGCCTATGGGGACCACTCCCCTCTTCTCAGACCTGCCTCACTACAGAGAACCCTCTCCCCCTTCCCCCACCACAAGGGGAAAGATGTGAAATCCTCTTGTGGAGGAGTGGTACCGGACGACTCCCAAAGGCCTCCAGGTATCCTCTGCTGCCCACTGGAGAAGGCCTCTTGTTTGGTTCCCTTCACTCGGGCTAAGTTCTTTGACTCACACAGCTGCTTTCTGAGCCAATGAGAAATTAGCTTTCCTAAGCATCCCCCAGTGATAGGGTGTGGAGGAAACAAGAAGAGATTGTGTGTGTGTCTGTGTGTGTGTGTGTGTGTGTGTGTGTGTGCGCGCGCGCGCGTGACTGCATGCACATTCACACGTGTGTGCCTGCAAAGATGCAGATTTATTTGGATGCATATCTAATGTGTTATAAGTGTGTTCATATTTTCATTTGTGGGTGAGTGCATGCAAGTCTATCTGTGTGTATTCATGTGTGCATGCATCCTGTGGTTTGCATGACCTTGGGCATAGGATTTAAGGGTAGGTCGGCGCCTACCCCATACCCAAGGCTCCACCCCAAGCACAGAGAAAGGCTGAGGGGCCAGGGAAGGGCAGTACTCTGTCAGCCAGGTCTCTGCCTTGGCTTGCTTGGGCATGTGCTTCCCAGTGTGGAAATTCTCTGTCCCTGTGATCGGCTCCCTATTGTCTCTCACAGGCTGGTGGCACGGTGTGATGGCTGGTAGCCCTGAAAACTCCTTTTTCTCAGACCCAGAGGAGAAATTTAAGGATAGGAAACCAGGAAAGGTGTGTGTGTTGGGGGCAGGAGCTGGTCACTGTCCCGTCCTCACCGGTTAGCATTTCCACCACTCCCCCGCTCTCCCTCTCTCCAGCCTCTCTGGTCAGGAAAAGCAGGGTACCTGCTGACGCCTTTCCTAAACCTTGGCCTGAATGGAACCCTGGCGTGCACCTCCTCACTCCTTTGTTTGCCAGAGCCCCTCTCCTGGCCCACCCTGAGCGCCCCACTACCACTTCTCTCTAATCCTTGTGTTCCTGTCCTGTGCACCCCAATCCTTGCCTCAGTGGATTCCACAAACACAGCTGGGTAACCGGCACACAGATCAAGGAACAGGATATTTGTAGCAACCCAGAATTCCTGCTCCATACCCCTCTGGTCACTACTCTCCCAAGAATACCACACTTCTGACTTGTAACACTACAGACCAATGCTGCCTCTCCTTAAATTTCATATAAATCAAATTTTACAGCATGTTCTTTTTTTGTGTCTGCCTTCTTTTGCTCAGTCTCATATTAGTGAGATCCACCATATTATTGCATATGGTTGTAGTTTGCTCCCATTGTTTTATTTTGTTCCACTGTGTGGATAAGCCACACTTTATTTAATCCATTCTACCAATGTGAGACATTTGGGTAGTTCACAGTTTGAAGCTATGAGTAGTACTGCTGTGCTGGGTATGTTCCCAGGAGTGGAACTGCAGAGTCATAAGGTCTGCATATAGCTCTAGTAGATGTAGTAGACTTGGCCCCGCAGTTTTCCAAAGGGCATGTACCATCTGAGCCTACCAGAACCCACACCTGGCCTGCTCTCTGGCTTGGCTTCTCCCTGAGCTGCTGTTAAATTCCAGTCCCAGACACTGTCCATGGTCCTAGCCCTGACCTTGGTCCTGTCCTTGGTTCCAGCTCTGATGCTAGTCCTGGGCTTAAATGGAGCTTTTAATTCACTCATATGGTCAATAAATATTTATTGAGCACTATATGCCAGATGCAGACAACAAAAAACAGGTGCCATTCGCCCCCCCCATGGACCTTACAGTCTATCGGGAAAGATTGAGTGTGGGCAAGAAAGTACTAAAATAATCCCACACGTAATGTATGATTATGAATTGTTCTGAATGTTACAAATGAGATTACCTGGTGCTGTGATATCACATGATAGAGGGAATCTGACTTGGGCAGTAAAGGTTCCCTGATAAAGTGATGTGGAGTTGACACCTGAAGGGCAAGGAGGCCAAGAGAAAAGAGAAGAGCATTCCACATAGAGGGAACCACATATACAAAGGCCTGGGGTTAGGAAGAGTGTGAAGGACTTAAGGCCAGTGGGACTGGATGGAGAAAGAGGGAAGTGCTATAGGAGATGAGGTGGGAGAGGTCAGCAAGGGCCAGCTGCTGCAGGGCTGTTTGTCAGTGTTCAAAGAGAATTCAGAAGGGAGACACTGAAGAATTTTTAGGGAAAGAGGAACATCCTAGTGACTTCTGTGAGATTGTAAGGGGCAATAGTAGAAGCAGAGGGACCAGCTAGAGAAGTAATCAAATTATAGAGATGCTTACAAGAAAATGTGGGTAAATATGAAATATGGTGGTGTTGGATGGGCTGTTAGGTATCTGGCTTGTGCAGCTGGATGAGCAGTGGGGCTGTGAGCTGCAGTGGAGACCACTGAGAGGGAATGGGCCTAAGGAAAGGCGATCATGACTTCAGTTTCAAACATGTTGAATTTGCTGTGCACAAGGGAAGATTGCAAGTAGGCAGTTGGATATATTTCTTGGAGTTAAAAGGAGTTGACCAGGCTAGTTTACAAATTGGAGTATGGTTCTGAAATTAAAGCCCAGGGTCTGGATAAAGGTACTTATGTGGATGACTACAGCATTAGGTCTCAACTCTGCACATTACAATCACCTGGGGAGCTCTTAAAAATATTGAATAAAATTCAATGTCTCAGTCACTCTAGCCACATTTCAGATGTTCAGGAGCCACATCTTTCTCCTGGCTACCGTATCAACAGCACAGATACAGAATGCTTTAAAATGGAAGATGTGGTCAACAGTATCCAGTGATTTTGAGAGAGGTAAAGAAAGATGAAGACAAATGTCTCTTAGATTCTATGACACTGGGATCATTGGGAGACCTAGGGACAGCTGTTTGGTAGGTTGAAAGGAGGTGGAGAAGCCTGATGGAAGTGGATTGAGGCATGCATGGGATATGGGGAAATGGAAACAGCAAGTACAGATAAATTTTTTACAACTGTGGCCCTGAAGTAAATGTGAGAAATATTGGAGGCTGGAAGGGGTGTAAGTTGGAAATGGGTTTTTTTTTTTAACTGTAGCGTTCATATTGTGAAATGCACAAATCTTAAGTGTATAGCTCAGTTAATTTTGGATCAGTATACATTGATTTAACTACCACCCAGATCAAGGTACAAAATATTTCCTATCTTCTAATAGCAGAGATTGGCTCTGCTTGTTTTTGAATTTCATATAAATAACATCATTCACAATGTTCTCTTTATGCGTCTGGTTTCTTTTGCTTATCAACATATGTGTGAAATTTGTCCATGTTGTTGCATGTAGCAAGAGGGTTTTTTCATTGCTGTATAGTATTCTATTCTATTTATTTATCCATTCTACTATTAACGGACACTGAAGTTGTGTCCAGTGTGGGCTAATATGAAAAAGGGGTCATTAGCATTTTTATACATATCTTTCAGAGGATATATGCAGTCATTTCTTTGGATATCTAATAAGTGGAATTGCTGGGGTTTAGACCTTAGTAGATACTGCCTAACAGTTTTCCAGAGTTTATGCTCCTGCTTGCACCAGATGAGAGTTCTTTTTGCTTCATATTCTTACCAGTATTGAGCAACAACACTTCCATTAATTTTAGCTGTTCTGGTGGATATTTGATAGAATCTCATTGTGGTTTTAATTTGCATTTCACTGGTTACTAGTATTGTTACACATATGTTATACATGTATATTTATTATACATATATATGTTTATTTTTCATATGTTTATTGACCCTTTAGACATTCTTTTCTTGGAGTACCTGTTTAAGTCTTTTGACAATTTAAAACACTAGGTTACCTACATTTTAAAACTTCTATTATTTTTATTATATATGTATTTAAATATTTTATGTTGAGGTACATACAATAAATATACAATCTTAGTGTACAGTGTTTGAATTTTGACATTTGCATATACTCATGTAACCATCATCCAGATCAAGATATCAAACATTCTCACTATTTTCTTCCCCTTCACTTATTTCAACCCACCCTCCCATATGGCAACCACCAGTCTGTTCTCTGTGTCTACTTCATTTTTATTTGTTTGCTCATTTGTTTTTTAGAATCCACATATAAGTCAAAACATGTGGTATTTTCTTTATCTGCTATATTTCACTTAACATAATACACTTTAGGTACATCAATGTTGTTGCAAATGGAAAGATTTCATTCTTTTTATGGCTGAGTAATATCCCACTGTATATGTGTACCACATCTTCTTTATCCATTCGCCCATTGATAGACATTCAGGTTGTTTCCATATTTTGGCTATTGTAAATAATGCTATGATAAGCATAGGTGTGCATATATCTTTGCAGATTAGTAATTTTGTTTTCTTAAAGTAAATTCCCAGACTAGAATTGCTAGGTCATATGGTATTTCTATATTTAGTATTTTGAGAAACCTCCCTGCTGCTTTCCATAGTGGCTGCACCAATTTGCAATCCTACCAACAGGTGGGAGCGTTCTTTTTTCTCCACATCCTCGCCAACACTCATTATTTCTTGTCTTGTTGATATTAGTGTTTTTTGTTGTTTTGTTTTGAAGGAATTCGTTTAGATTTTAATCCTCTCTCACACTCTCAGTCAATAACTTTTTCTCCCTCCCACTCTCCTCCCTCCCTGTGTGTGTGTATAAACAGATGCACACACACACACATGCACACACATACTGGCATATCTCACATATTCTCTCCCAGTCTGTGACTTGCCTTCCCATTCTCTTACTAGTGTCTTTTGATGACCAGAAGTCATTAATTTATTAAGGTACAATGTATCAGCCTCCTTTTTATGGTTAAGTTTTGTGTGAAATTTTTAATGGTTAAATTTTATGTGGTTAGATTTTAAGAAATCTTTGCTTTCGCCAAGGTCATAAAGGTTTTCTCCTATTTTTTTTCCTATAAGGTATTGTTCTGAGAGACATTGCTTCACTTTTCACAATTAGGTCTATTGGATTCATTTCAAATTAATTTCTCCTTGCAGACATAAGGTAGAAATAGATTTTTTCCCAAATGGATCTTCAAGTGACCCAGCACCATTTACCAAAAAGATCATCCATTCTCCTCTCAATTGCAGTGGCACCTTTGCCATTAATCAGCTGACCACCTTTGTGTGGATCTATTTCTGGACCCTATTATGTTCTATCACTGCATCTTTATAATAGTTTTGATATTTGGTAATGTAAGTCCTCAGGAGGAGGGTTTTTTTAAAAAAAGAAAAAAAGATATTTGGGCTCATATAAAAGTTGGTGAGAAGGGTCTAGTTGAGAGAGGGGTTGAATAAAAGTATAATCTACACCTTAAGGTTTCTGGAAAGACAATAGGATCTGGGATCCAGGTGCTTATGGAAGGACTGGTCTTATGTGCTCACCTGCTCCCCCACTCAACATAAAGGCATTGGGTAGCCCTGTTGACAGGCGCACAAAGCAGTGCCAGGACAGACCAGGTCCCTGTTCTCGTGCAGCACCCTCTCTAGTAGTGGGAGAAAAATAACAAGTATGCACATAAGCAGATGATTCAGGAAGCAGTAAATGCCATGAAGAGCATGAGAAGGATCTCATGATAGAGTAACAGAAGACTGCTCCAAATGAGCACCAAGGAATGCCTCTTGGCTCAATGGCACGTGAGTTAAGATTTGAACAAGAGTCAGTCCTTGAGAGCAGAGTGAAGAGGGTCCCAGACAAGTACAGAAGCCCTTAGGCTGATGTAAGCTTGTAGTGTCTGTGGCACAGCCAAATGACCGGTGTCCATGGAACAGTGAAAAAAAACAACGGGAGCAAGATAACCAAATGATACTAGAAAGCCAGGTGGAGACCAAATCTGCCCAAGGGACATATGTGGGTTGGGCTGCATGTGGATTTTTACTTAAGTTGGAGTTAGGTAGATTGGTTATATGGATGGTGACGATGGGGGATGGATGTTGAGAAAGAGGGGGATCCATCCTGGCTCCTCTGTGAAGCTGCTCTCACACGTGCCCTCTTTCCCTGCAGCCTCCTGAATGATGCCAGCCCAGTGTTTCCTAACCTCCAGCCTGGCCCTCCTGGTGCTGCTGGACACAGTCAGAGCAGGCCCTTTCTCTCAACGGTACAACGTGACACTCCCTGCCCCGCGGCCGCCTCCCCAGCCAGGGGGCCGGACAGCAGAGCCAAGAGGGGGAAGCCCTTCCTCTCAGCTTTATGAGCACAACGTGGAAGGAGGGGAAAAGCAGGTGGTGTTCACCCACCGCATTAACCTGCCCCCTTCAGCTGGCTGTGGCTGTCCACCCGGCACTGAGCCTCCCATCCCCGCTTCAGAGGTGCAGGCCCTGAGAGTCCGCCTGGAGATCCTGGAGGAGCTGGTGAAGGGGCTCAAGGAACAGTGCACAGGGGGATGTTGTCCTGCTGCTGCACAGGCTGGCACAGGTGAGCAGATGGTTACAGGAGGGGCCACAGGAAGAGGAAGGTGGAGAAGTGGGTTAGGCCGGGTGGGTCATCATACTTTATGGAAGGGACCTTGGTATGAATTATAAACAGGCACCCCTTCCTTGCCCTTGGGGGTGGTGAGTGCAGCCTAGGACACAACTCTGAGAGGAACCACATGGCTAGATGTCAACCCTCCCCTCCCATGAAGCATGTGCTAAGGCCCTTGGGAGGCCGCACATATTTGACAATGAGCAGCTGGAAACTAAGATGGCCGTATGAAATCAGCTGGCCCTGCTGGAGGGGCTGATTCAAAGGAGCATTGTGTGGGCCCAACCTCTCCCTGAGAGAGACTGAGGCCTGACTCTCCCTCTTACTCTAGGCCAGACAGACGTTCGCAGCCTCTGCAGTCTCCATGGCGTATTTGACCTGGGTCGCTGTGCCTGTTCCTGCGAGCCAGGCTGGGGTGGGCCCACCTGCTCGGACCCCACAGACGCCAGGGTAACCCCCTCCTCCCCACCCTCAGCCTCTGGGTCCTGCCCTGATGACTGCAACGATCAGGGTCGCTGTGTCCGTGGTCGTTGCGTGTGCTTCCCTGGCTACAGCGGCCCCAGCTGTGGCTGGCCCTCCTGCCCCAAGGACTGCCACGGCCGCGGACGCTGCGTGCAGGGCGTGTGCGTGTGCCGGACGGGCTTCTCAGGCGAGGACTGCAGCCTGCGCTCCTGCCCTCGAGGCTGCAGTCAGAGGGGGCGCTGCGAGGACGGCCTCTGTGTGTGCGATCCCGGCTACACTGGCGAGGACTGTGGGAAGAAGGGCTGCCCTCGAAGTTGCAGCCAGAGGGGGCGCTGCGAGAATGGGCGCTGTGTGTGCAACCCTGGCTACACTGGCGAAGACTGTGCTGTGAGGAGCTGCCCTCGGGGCTGCAGCCAGAAGGGGCGCTGCGAGGACGGGCGCTGCGTCTGTGACCCTGGCTACACTGGGGAGGACTGCGGTGCACGGACCTGCCCGTGGGACTGTGGCGAGGGCGGGCGTTGCGTGGACGGTCGTTGCGTGTGCTGGCCAGGGTACACGGGCGACGACTGCAGCACGCGGACCTGTCCGCGCGACTGCCGGGGTCGCGGGCGCTGCGAGGATGGCGAATGCATCTGCGATGCAGGCTACAGTGGTGACGACTGCGGCGTACGCAGCTGCCCCCTCGACTGCAACCAAAGGGGCCGCTGCGAGGACGGCCGCTGCGTGTGCTGGCCCGGGTACACTGGGCCTGACTGCGGCGCGCGTGCCTGCCCGCGTGACTGTCGAGGCCGCGGGCGCTGCGAGAACGGCGTGTGCGTGTGCAACGCGGGCTACAGTGGCGAGGATTGCGGCGTGCGCAGCTGTCCTGGGGACTGTCGCGGCCGCGGCCGTTGCGAGAATGGCCGCTGCGTGTGTTGGCCTGGTTATACAGGCCGGGACTGCAGCACGCGTGCCTGCCCTGGCGACTGTCGTGGGCGCGGGCGCTGTGTGGACGGCCGCTGCGTGTGCAATCCAGGCTTCACGGGCGATGACTGCGGGAGTCGTTGGTGCCCCGGCGACTGCCGCGGCCAAGGCCGCTGTGAGGATGGCATGTGCATGTGCGACACAGGCTACGAGGGCGAGGACTGTGGCACTCGCAGCTGCCCAGGAGGTTGCCGAGGCCGCGGCCAGTGCCTGGACGGGCGCTGTGTATGCGACGATGGCTACTCAGGCGAGGACTGCGGCATGAGGCAGTGCCCGCGCGACTGCAGTCAGCATGGCGTGTGCCAGGACGGTGTGTGCGCCTGTTGGGAGGGCTACGCGGGCGAGGACTGCGGCCTCCGTACCTGCCCCTCCAACTGCCATGGGCGTGGCCGCTGTGAGGAGGGACACTGCGTGTGCGACTCAGGCTACACTGGCCCCTCCTGCGCCACCCGCACCTGCCTGGCGGACTGCCGAGGCCGTGGGCGCTGTGTGCAGGGAGTGTGTGTGTGCTACGCGGGCTATAGCGGCAAGGACTGTGGGCAAGAAGAGCCCCCCGCCAGCGCCTGCCCTGGGGGGTGTGGGCCCCGGGAACTATGCCGCTCAGGCCAGTGTGTATGTGTTGAGGGCTACCGAGGCCCAGACTGTGCCATCCAAACGTGCCCTGCGGACTGCCGTGGCCGTGGAGAATGTCGTGACGGCAGCTGCGTCTGCCAAGACGGCTATGCAGGGGAGGACTGTGGGGAAGGTGAGGAGGCAGCCTTGCACATTTTAAAACTTCTATTATTTTTATTATATATGTATTTAAATATTTTATGTTGAGGTACATACAATAAATATACAATCTTAGTGTACAGTGTTTGAATTTTGACATTTGCATATACTCATGTAACCATCATCCAGATCAAGATATCAAACATTCTCACTATTTTCTTCCCCTTCACTTATTTCAACCCACCCTCCCATATGGCAACCACCAGTCTGTTCTCTGTGTCTACTTCATTTTTATTTGTTTGCTCATTTGTTTTTTAGAATCCACATATAAGTCAAAACATGTGGTATTTTCTTTATCTGCTATATTTCACTTAACATAATACACTTTAGGTACATCAATGTTGTTGCAAATGGAAAGATTTCATTCTTTTTATGGCTGAGTAATATCCCACTGTATATGTGTACCACATCTTCTTTATCCATTCGCCCATTGATAGACATTCAGGTTGTTTCCATATTTTGGCTATTGTAAATAATGCTATGATAAGCATAGGTGTGCATATATCTTTGCAGATTAGTAATTTTGTTTTCTTAAAGTAAATTCCCAGACTAGAATTGCTAGGTCATATGGTATTTCTATATTTAGTATTTTGAGAAACCTCCCTGCTGCTTTCCATAGTGGCTGCACCAATTTGCAATCCTACCAACAGGTGGGAGCGTTCTTTTTTCTCCACATCCTCGCCAACACTCATTATTTCTTGTCTTGTTGATATTAGTGTTTTTTGTTGTTTTGTTTTGAAGGAATTCGTTTAGATTTTAATCCTCTCTCACACTCTCAGTCAATAACTTTTTCTCCCTCCCACTCTCCTCCCTCCCTGTGTGTGTGTATAAACAGATGCACACACACACACATGCACACACATACTGGCATATCTCACATATTCTCTCCCAGTCTGTGACTTGCCTTCCCATTCTCTTACTAGTGTCTTTTGATGACCAGAAGTCATTAATTTATTAAGGTACAATGTATCAGCCTCCTTTTTATGGTTAAGTTTTGTGTGAAATTTTTAATGGTTAAATTTTATGTGGTTAGATTTTAAGAAATCTTTGCTTTCGCCAAGGTCATAAAGGTTTTCTCCTATTTTTTTTCCTATAAGGTATTGTTCTGAGAGACATTGCTTCACTTTTCACAATTAGGTCTATTGGATTCATTTCAAATTAATTTCTCCTTGCAGACATAAGGTAGAAATAGATTTTTTCCCAAATGGATCTTCAAGTGACCCAGCACCATTTACCAAAAAGATCATCCATTCTCCTCTCAATTGCAGTGGCACCTTTGCCATTAATCAGCTGACCACCTTTGTGTGGATCTATTTCTGGACCCTATTATGTTCTATCACTGCATCTTTATAATAGTTTTGATATTTGGTAATGTAAGTCCTCAGGAGGAGGGTTTTTTTAAAAAAAGAAAAAAAGATATTTGGGCTCATATAAAAGTTGGTGAGAAGGGTCTAGTTGAGAGAGGGGTTGAATAAAAGTATAATCTACACCTTAAGGTTTCTGGAAAGACAATAGGATCTGGGATCCAGGTGCTTATGGAAGGACTGGTCTTATGTGCTCACCTGCTCCCCCACTCAACATAAAGGCATTGGGTAGCCCTGTTGACAGGCGCACAAAGCAGTGCCAGGACAGACCAGGTCCCTGTTCTCGTGCAGCACCCTCTCTAGTAGTGGGAGAAAAATAACAAGTATGCACATAAGCAGATGATTCAGGAAGCAGTAAATGCCATGAAGAGCATGAGAAGGATCTCATGATAGAGTAACAGAAGACTGCTCCAAATGAGCACCAAGGAATGCCTCTTGGCTCAATGGCACGTGAGTTAAGATTTGAACAAGAGTCAGTCCTTGAGAGCAGAGTGAAGAGGGTCCCAGACAAGTACAGAAGCCCTTAGGCTGATGTAAGCTTGTAGTGTCTGTGGCACAGCCAAATGACCGGTGTCCATGGAACAGTGAAAAAAAACAACGGGAGCAAGATAACCAAATGATACTAGAAAGCCAGGTGGAGACCAAATCTGCCCAAGGGACATATGTGGGTTGGGCTGCATGTGGATTTTTACTTAAGTTGGAGTTAGGTAGATTGGTTATATGGATGGTGACGATGGGGGATGGATGTTGAGAAAGAGGGGGATCCATCCTGGCTCCTCTGTGAAGCTGCTCTCACACGTGCCCTCTTTCCCTGCAGCCTCCTGAATGATGCCAGCCCAGTGTTTCCTAACCTCCAGCCTGGCCCTCCTGGTGCTGCTGGACACAGTCAGAGCAGGCCCTTTCTCTCAACGGTACAACGTGACACTCCCTGCCCCGCGGCCGCCTCCCCAGCCAGGGGGCCGGACAGCAGAGCCAAGAGGGGGAAGCCCTTCCTCTCAGCTTTATGAGCACAACGTGGAAGGAGGGGAAAAGCAGGTGGTGTTCACCCACCGCATTAACCTGCCCCCTTCAGCTGGCTGTGGCTGTCCACCCGGCACTGAGCCTCCCATCCCCGCTTCAGAGGTGCAGGCCCTGAGAGTCCGCCTGGAGATCCTGGAGGAGCTGGTGAAGGGGCTCAAGGAACAGTGCACAGGGGGATGTTGTCCTGCTGCTGCACAGGCTGGCACAGGTGAGCAGATGGTTACAGGAGGGGCCACAGGAAGAGGAAGGTGGAGAAGTGGGTTAGGCCGGGTGGGTCATCATACTTTATGGAAGGGACCTTGGTATGAATTATAAACAGGCACCCCTTCCTTGCCCTTGGGGGTGGTGAGTGCAGCCTAGGACACAACTCTGAGAGGAACCACATGGCTAGATGTCAACCCTCCCCTCCCATGAAGCATGTGCTAAGGCCCTTGGGAGGCCGCACATATTTGACAATGAGCAGCTGGAAACTAAGATGGCCGTATGAAATCAGCTGGCCCTGCTGGAGGGGCTGATTCAAAGGAGCATTGTGTGGGCCCAACCTCTCCCTGAGAGAGACTGAGGCCTGACTCTCCCTCTTACTCTAGGCCAGACAGACGTTCGCAGCCTCTGCAGTCTCCATGGCGTATTTGACCTGGGTCGCTGTGCCTGTTCCTGCGAGCCAGGCTGGGGTGGGCCCACCTGCTCGGACCCCACAGACGCCAGGGTAACCCCCTCCTCCCCACCCTCAGCCTCTGGGTCCTGCCCTGATGACTGCAACGATCAGGGTCGCTGTGTCCGTGGTCGTTGCGTGTGCTTCCCTGGCTACAGCGGCCCCAGCTGTGGCTGGCCCTCCTGCCCCAAGGACTGCCACGGCCGCGGACGCTGCGTGCAGGGCGTGTGCGTGTGCCGGACGGGCTTCTCAGGCGAGGACTGCAGCCTGCGCTCCTGCCCTCGAGGCTGCAGTCAGAGGGGGCGCTGCGAGGACGGCCTCTGTGTGTGCGATCCCGGCTACACTGGCGAGGACTGTGGGAAGAAGGGCTGCCCTCGAAGTTGCAGCCAGAGGGGGCGCTGCGAGAATGGGCGCTGTGTGTGCAACCCTGGCTACACTGGCGAAGACTGTGCTGTGAGGAGCTGCCCTCGGGGCTGCAGCCAGAAGGGGCGCTGCGAGGACGGGCGCTGCGTCTGTGACCCTGGCTACACTGGGGAGGACTGCGGTGCACGGACCTGCCCGTGGGACTGTGGCGAGGGCGGGCGTTGCGTGGACGGTCGTTGCGTGTGCTGGCCAGGGTACACGGGCGACGACTGCAGCACGCGGACCTGTCCGCGCGACTGCCGGGGTCGCGGGCGCTGCGAGGATGGCGAATGCATCTGCGATGCAGGCTACAGTGGTGACGACTGCGGCGTACGCAGCTGCCCCCTCGACTGCAACCAAAGGGGCCGCTGCGAGGACGGCCGCTGCGTGTGCTGGCCCGGGTACACTGGGCCTGACTGCGGCGCGCGTGCCTGCCCGCGTGACTGTCGAGGCCGCGGGCGCTGCGAGAACGGCGTGTGCGTGTGCAACGCGGGCTACAGTGGCGAGGATTGCGGCGTGCGCAGCTGTCCTGGGGACTGTCGCGGCCGCGGCCGTTGCGAGAATGGCCGCTGCGTGTGTTGGCCTGGTTATACAGGCCGGGACTGCAGCACGCGTGCCTGCCCTGGCGACTGTCGTGGGCGCGGGCGCTGTGTGGACGGCCGCTGCGTGTGCAATCCAGGCTTCACGGGCGATGACTGCGGGAGTCGTTGGTGCCCCGGCGACTGCCGCGGCCAAGGCCGCTGTGAGGATGGCATGTGCATGTGCGACACAGGCTACGAGGGCGAGGACTGTGGCACTCGCAGCTGCCCAGGAGGTTGCCGAGGCCGCGGCCAGTGCCTGGACGGGCGCTGTGTATGCGACGATGGCTACTCAGGCGAGGACTGCGGCATGAGGCAGTGCCCGCGCGACTGCAGTCAGCATGGCGTGTGCCAGGACGGTGTGTGCGCCTGTTGGGAGGGCTACGCGGGCGAGGACTGCGGCCTCCGTACCTGCCCCTCCAACTGCCATGGGCGTGGCCGCTGTGAGGAGGGACACTGCGTGTGCGACTCAGGCTACACTGGCCCCTCCTGCGCCACCCGCACCTGCCTGGCGGACTGCCGAGGCCGTGGGCGCTGTGTGCAGGGAGTGTGTGTGTGCTACGCGGGCTATAGCGGCAAGGACTGTGGGCAAGAAGAGCCCCCCGCCAGCGCCTGCCCTGGGGGGTGTGGGCCCCGGGAACTATGCCGCTCAGGCCAGTGTGTATGTGTTGAGGGCTACCGAGGCCCAGACTGTGCCATCCAAACGTGCCCTGCGGACTGCCGTGGCCGTGGAGAATGTCGTGACGGCAGCTGCGTCTGCCAAGACGGCTATGCAGGGGAGGACTGTGGGGAAGGTGAGGAGGCAGCCTTGCTCAATATGCTCTGTCAGGGACTGGGAACCAGAGCCAGTGGGAAGGCCTGAGCCGGAGGCCTAGGAGTCCAGGGACCTGGAGAGGAGTGAAGAGTAGACTTACGTTGCAGGGAGGGGGCAGTCAGAAGAGCCAGGGAACCAGGGTCCACCAGGGGCAGCAGAACCATGGGGCATGCCAGCAGGCAGAACCTACTTTTAGGTCTCTGATGAGCAGGTTGGGGGCCCTTTTAGTTGCTTTTGGGGAGATTTTGTGTTTCTGGAAATGGGGGGAAGGTAAAGGAGACCCAGGATCTGTGCAGGCCTCTGCCAGCTTAGCCTCTCCCCCAGAGAGGAGTGGGGACTCCAATAGTGATGACTTAGTATGGCCTTGAGTAAGGGGGCCTGTGATGGTGGGGGTAGGGGGTGAGAGCTGCTTCGGTAACCAGCATCCCATATCCCATTCTCCTGGGCAGAGGTGCCAGCCATTGAAAGCATGAGGATGCACCTCCTGGAAGAGACAACAGTTCGGACAGAGTGGACCCAGGCTCCTGGCACTGTGGATGCCTATGAAATTCAGTTCACCCCCACGGTGAGAGCCAACCTCCAGGAGGGGGCTGGGTGGGCAGGCCTGGGGGGAGGGAGTGCTCACCTCAAGCAGGAAGTTCCAGGTACTCAGCTGGTGAGTCCAGATAGCTGGGTTCCTGAAGCTGCTCTAAGGGCCTTCTCATCTTGCATCACATGGGGTTGCAGGCGGCCTTTGCAGCAGTGGTTCACTGCAGCTGAACACCATGGGCCATAGGGAGCTCTGCCCAGTCCGTTGCTGGTCATCATTGTTGTTCTTGTTGCTGAATGACAGTTTGCCCCATTCTAACATCCATCCATTGGCCTGCGCCAGGTCTTCACGAGCATTCATAATCTATTTGCTTTCTCTGCATCCTACACCATGGACTTTCAGGCATTGGGAGAGGTGAGCCACCACATCACTCTTCATTCTCTCCAGGCAAAAGCTGCTGATTTCTTCACCCCTTTCTCAGAATCCTTCACTTCCTGAGCTCCCTGCTCTAGTGGCTCCTGCTTTACACATTTGTCCCTAAAGTGTGGGGGCAGAGAGGAGTCCAGTCATTCTCTTGGCTGACTCTGGATACACGGCACTCTTCTTAAAGTTGACGTATATTGACTTATGGTCACACAAACTGTGTGCCATCTGTATTGATAGTATTTGTCTTTTCTAGTAAATTTTTATTATAAAAGTCTTAAGAACTCTCTACACCGAAAAGCAGCAGGATACACATTCTTCTCAAGTGCACATGGAACATTTTCCAGAATAGACCACATACTAGGCCACAAAAAGAGCATCAGTAAATTCAAAAAAGACTGAAATTCAACCAATCAACTTTTCAGACCACAAAGGTATAAAACTAGAAATAAATTCTACAAAGAAAGCAAAAAAGCTCACAAACACATGGAGGCTTAACAACATGCTCCTAAATAATCAATGGATCAACGACCAAATTAAAATAGAGATCAGGCAATATATGGAAACAAATGACAACAACAACACAAAGCCCCAACTTCTGTGGGACACAGCAAAAGCAGTTCTAAGAGGAAAGTATATAGCAATCCAGGCATATTTAAAGAAGGAAGAACAATCCCAAATGAATAGTCTAAAGTCACAATTATTGAAATTGGAAAAAGAAGAACAAACGAGGCCTAAAGTCAGCAGAAGGGACATAATAAAGATCAGAGAAAAAATAAATAAAATTGAGAAGAATAAAACAATAGAAAAAATCAATGAAAAGTCATATAGCCTTAGGGTAGAAACTAAAAAATCTAGATAAACAAGGATGAAGAAAGAAAGAAGGAAAAAAAGATGACATTCCACTGTATACACTTTTTTAGCCTAATGTATAGTCTTGTATTTGGCTCTGCTTGGTGTTATCTTTTTTGGTTTGGGCCAAGCTGCCTAGGCTGTTGCAAAAATTTGAGTCTGAACTGGTTCCCCTGCCTCCATGTCATCAGCATGCTGCAAAGCATCCTTTCTTTGTCTCCTTCCAAGTCACTTTTAAAATATTTGGGGGGCACCCAGAGGACAAAGCCTTGTGACCTCTCAGTAGAGACCTCTTTTTATACAGATCAGTCTTTTGTGATGTGTTTTAGTCTCCCAGATTTACATCATCTGACATCATTCCACAGGTGCCATGGGTGGGTAGGCCATGTCACCCTACTTCTGCCCAGCCATGACTCTGGAAAAATGATTAATTCCCAGGGCATAAGCCCTAGGAAGGCTCTAGGACAGAAGGGACCGCTCAAAGGTGCCATCATCTCCACCCCAATCGGCCTGGTCAATCTAAGTGACCCCCAAAGCCAGACCCCTGCCATATTCTGTCTGTCCTCCTCACTCCCTGGTAGAAGCACAGGCAGAAATCCCTCCTTTGCTGCACAACCAAGATAGCTTGGATTATTTCTTCTGTTAAAAAAAAAATTGTTATAAAAATAACTATCACAAGATAAGAATTTGGCAACTAGAGAAAAAAACAAATAGTTCTTGGTTGTTTCACACTAAAATGCACTGTTAACATTTTTAACTGTTTCTCCCGCTGTCTTCTTCTATGTGTATATTATTTACATAATTCTGATCTTGAGGGGAATGAGACTATTTTTGTTGTTAAGTATATGAAAGAAATGGTTTATTGACTTCATTTGATCATCTTTAACACATTTATTTATTTAATTAATTAAAGTCTATCATTGATAGACAATCTTATGAAGGTTTCACATGAGCAGCATTGTGGTTACTACATTCACCCATATTATCAAGTGCCCCCCCAACCCCATTGCAGTCACTGTCCATCAGTGTAGTAAGATGCTATAGAGTCACTACTTGTCTTCTCTGTGCTGTACTGCCTTCCTGGTGACCCCCTACATTATGTGTGCTAATCATAATATCCCTTAATCCCCTTCTCCCTCCCTCCCCAATCACCCTCCCCTCCCCCTTTCCCTTTGGTAACTGCAAGTCCCTTTTTGGAGTCTGTGTGTCTGCTGCTGTTTTGTTCCTTCAGTTTTGCTTCATTGTTATACTCCACAAATGAATGAAATCATTTGGTACTTGTCTTTCTCCACCTGGCTTATTTCACTGAGCATAATACCCTCTAGCTCCATCCATGTTGTTGCAATGGTACAGGATTTGTTTTCTTCTTATGGCTGAATAATATTCCATTGTGTATATGTACCACATCTTCTTTATCCATTCATCTATTGATGGACACTTAGGTTGCTTCCATGTCTTGGCTATTGTAAATAGTGTTGCGATAAACATAGGGGTGCATGTCTTTTTGAATCTATGATCTTGTTTTCTTCGGATAAATTTCTAGGAGTGGAATTCCTGGGTCAAATGGTGTTTCTATTTTTAGTTTTTTGAGGAACCTCCATATTGCTTTCGATAATAGTTGAACTAACTTACATTCCCACCAGCAGTGTAGGAGGGTTCCCCCTTCTCCACATCCTCACCAGCATTTGTTGTTCCTTGTCTTTTGGATGTTGGCCATCCTAACTGGTGTGAAGTGATATCTCATTGTGGTTTTCATTTGCATTTCTCTGATAATTAGCAATATGGAGCATCTTTTCATTTGCCTGTTGGCCATCCAAATTTCTTCTTTGGAGAGTGTCTGTTCAGATCCTCTGCCCATTTTTTAATTGGGTTATTTGCTTTTTGGATGTTGAGGCATATGAGCTGTTTTTGTATTTTGGATGTTAACCCCTTGTCAAATATGTCATTTGTGAATATGTTCTCTCATATTGTAGGATGGCTTTTTGTTCTGCTGATGGTGTCCTTTGCTGTACAGAAGTTTTTTAGTTTGATGTAGTCCCACTTGTTCATTTTTGCTTTTGTTTCTCTTGTCCGAGGAGATGTGTTCAGAAAGAAGTTGCTCATGTTTATATTCAAGAGATTTTTGCCTATGTTTTCTTCCAAGGATTTTATGGTTTCATGACTTACATTCAGGTCTTTGATACATTTCAAGTTTACTTTTGTATATGGAGGAGGGAATGAAACTTTAAAAATTTTTTTTATTAAGGTATGATTGATATACACTCTTATGAAGGTTTCACGTGAAAAAACAATGTGGTTACTACATTTACCCATATTATCAAGTCCCCACCCATACCCCAATGCAGTCACTGTTCATCAGTGCAGCAAGTTGCCAGAGATCCACTATGTGCCTTCTCTGTGCTACACTGTTCTCCCTGTGATCCCCCACACCATGTATACTAAACATAATACCCCTCAGTCCCCTTATCCCTCCCTCTGCACCTGTCCTCCCACACCCCTCACCTTTGGTAACCACCAGTTCATTCTTGGAGTCTCTGAGCCTGCTGCCATTTTGTTCCTTCAGTTTTGCTTCATTGTTATACTCCACAAATGAGGGAAATCATTTGGCATTTGTCTTTCTCTGCCTGACTTATTTCACTGAGCATAATGTCCTCCAGCTCCATCCATGTTGTTGCAAATGGTAGGATTTGTTTCTTTCTTATGGCTGAATAGTATTCCATTGTGTATATGTACCAAATCTTCTTTATCCATTCATCTACAGATGGACACTTAGGTTGCTTCCATATCTTGGCTATTGTAAAAAGTGCTGCGATAAACATAGGGGTGCATATGTCTCTTTGAATCTGAGAAGTTGTATTCTTTGGGTATATTCCAAGGAGTGGGATTCCAGGGTCAAATGGTATTTCTATTTTGAGTTTTTTGAGGAACCTCCATATTGCTTTCCACAATGGTTGAACTAGCTTACAGGGAATAAGACTTTTTAAAGGAACTTTTCTAAGAAACTTCAGGGAAAGAAGAATTAAACACCTGAGACAGAAGGAGGTTGCAGGGCATCATTGGCACTTGCTCTTAGTAAATACAAACCCATACTTGAGTGTTCTCAAGAAGCATGCTTCTTTTCTCACCCATGGGGTCAACCTGGCCTGTGCCTGGCTTGGCCATGCTCAGCTCATCTGCTCTGCTCTGGGTATGGGGCCCTCTGTTACATTCTGTGTTCTCTCCAAGTGCGGTGTGAAAAATCTCCTGTTAAATTGGTCCCCACAGCTCTCTTGAACTCCACACCAGTCTGTGCAAATGGTCCTCAGACTGTGCTTTCAAAGCCTCCTGTGGCTGTGCCTTTCTGTGGAATTGTGCCTTTTGCCTTGGCCAATGCACTCTGTCTACTTCTGTTGGCACGGAGTATATTTGGTAGCTGGATGTTCTTTGGCCACTGCCATTTTTCTAGAAGTCTATCTCTACCTTGTCCCCTCCCCTTTCTGGAAGCACTTCTTTCCCCTGCCATTTCTGGCCAAGGGACACACCTAGTTATTAGAGTGATGTTCAGAACACAGAAGAGGAACATTCCTCCTTCTCCCTGCATATCTGGCGTTGTTTTTCTGACAGTGATTCTTGAAGTGTGTTCTCTGGACCTGCAGCATTACCATCACCTGGGAGCTTGTTAGACATGCAAATTGTTGGACTCTACCCCCAGATCTACTGAATCAGAAGCTCTGGGGGAAGGGGAGCCCAGTAACCTACACTGTAACAATCCCTCAAGGTGATTCTGGGTGCCCTCAGGCACCCAAGCCTGAGGATCACTAACTTAAGGAAGATTGCTATTTTACAAAATGCTGGCTGCCCCGTGAATGTGAGGGAAAGCATGAGGAAAATGGGGGAGGTGAGCCTCCAAATAGAAAGAGGTCTGGGTATTCCTTGTCTGGATGTACTCTGAAGCCAGTAACTGGGCTCTGCCACATTTTCACTGGGGCAGAAGCCTTGCAGCCTCAGAAAATTTTCTGTTTGGGTCTAGTCTGAAAAGGGGAATGAGGGGGAGGTAAGCTCTAGGCATCAGCCAAGGTGGAGTCCTCCAACTGGGGCCACAAGGTTGATATCAAGAACAGGATTAGAAACTCACCAAGGACAATCAGTGAAGCATCCATGCTTTCAGCAAGGCGCAGAGCCAGCTGCCAGCATCTGGTAGAGAGCCTGACTCAGATAAGACAGATGAGAGATGCAGGTTAGACTGACAGTGGAACTTTAGGGGACCGTTGCCAAATGGATCTCAGGAGGGACTGAGAGGTGTCTAAAAGGTTCGTGTGTGTGGGTCTGATGGGAGAAGAACTCTGAATATGGGCTTATCCCAGTGAAAGGGCCAGACATAATCAGAGAGCACACTGTGTGTGTGTGTGTGTGTGTGTGTGTGTGTGTGTGTGTTGGGGAATAAGACAAGAGACAGGCAGAGAGAGAGACTAAGGACTAAGTTCTAGGCAGGAAGACTTCAAGGTCTTGAGTTGAGACCAACCTGAGGCCTGTTAGGCTGGGATATCCTAGGACAGAGTGAGTAGGGGAGGAGCAGGGGTCCTGTGTGCCTAGGAGAACTTTTCAGTGAAGAAAATTCTGACAAAGCTTTATTTCATCCTCAACCCTGAAATCTCTACGTGGCCTCTCATCTGGTTTTATACTTTGGTATTTATGAAGTTGATTCCCCAGAATTCTCTTGGTTTAGGAGAGTACCTTTTGAAATTTCCAGTCCTACTTGGCTGAATGGAGGTTTCTCCATCACAGCCAACATAGCTCAGCGGAACAGAGCGTCCTTACTAGCTGTCCCAGCTAGACAGCTCAGTGTAATGTGGGGCTGTAGAGTGCTCGCAGATAACTGTTCCTCCTATTTTTATGGAACTGGGCTGGACCTGTTGCAGGCAGACTTCTGGTGGTGTCACCACAGATAATCACAATACCTTAAATGTGTAGTTGGAGGACCCTGCCTGGACCCATTGCGAGCAGACTTCTGGTGGTGTCACCACAGATAATCACAATACCTTAAATGTGTAGTTGGAGGAAGTGTAGTTGGAGGACCCTGCCTGGACCCATTGCGAGCAGACTTCTGGTGGTGTCACCACAGATAATCACAATACCTTAAATGTGTAGTTGGAGGAGGGTTTTCTCACAGGAATATACAACACATAGAGATTTGGGTAGGGATCTAGGAAAACTTAGGACATGGCCATACATGTAGCTAATAGATCATGAGCTATCTGAGGGCAAGGACTGTATCTTTTATTTCTGTGTCTTCAATGCCCAGCATGATGCCAGGTACAAAATCAGGAAACGTATTTGTGGAACTTTGAGCAGGTGGGCCTTGTTTTTAAGGGGTCTAAAGCTTGCTGAAGAGACAAGAAAAGTGCCTAGAGCGAAATGTCATGACATGCGTCACACCCTACTTACCCAGTCAGGGGCAGGTGTGTGTGGGGAGGCTCAGGCTGGGGCAGATGCTTTAAAGAAGAAGTGAGACTTGAAGGGACATCCCTCATCTACTTGATCTGTTTGGACTGAGCTTGGGTGAAGCTTCCTCAGGCTCAGGTAGTTAGGGTTGCCTGAGGAAAGCCAAAGGCAGGGTCCTGGCATGTGTCAGGTAGAATTCTGGTGGACAGCTCATGAACAGGCTGAAAAGGTAGTGACTGTGAGAGGGGACTCTAAGAACATGCTGCCTGAGCTTAAATCTCTGGCATTTTCTTGTTGTTGGTGACTATGGGTGAGATACCTACTCCTTTTGTACTTCAGTTTCCTCATCTGTCAAGTGGGAATAATATGAATCATCTCATCAGGTCCTTATGAGGATTAAGTGAGTTCGTTTATGTAAATTGACTTCAACAGTACCTGGCATGAGTAAATGTTCTAGATGTGTTTGCTGCTACCACTCAGGCTTCCCAGCTGAGTAGGGAAGTCAACACTGTCCCATGTTGACACTGCTTGGAACTGGAGAAAGAACACATAAGGGGATTGAGCTGCAGGGGTGAGAGTGCCTGCCCTTGTCCACCTGGTGCCTTCTCTCTTGCAGACAGAGGGGGTGAGCCCCCCATTCACAGCACGGGTGCCCAGCTCTGCCTCAGCCTATGACCAGAGAGGATTGGACCCTGGTCAGGAGTACCAGGTCACTATCCGTGCCCTTCGAGGGACTAACTGGGGCCCTCCTGCCTCCAAAACCATCACCACCAGTAAGAGCTGGGGCTGTGGGCAAGCTCCTGGGTGGATTTGGATTTGAGAGGTGTGGTTGGGAATCTGACCTCCAGGAGGGCTGAGGGGAGGGACTGGGCAAGGACAAGGCTCTCACAAGGAAAGCTGGTGACTTCCACCTGATTCCTCTTCTCTCTAACCTGGCTAGTGATCGATGGCCCCCAGGACCTCCGAGTGGTGGCCGTGACACCAACCACACTGGAGCTTGGCTGGTTGCACCCCCAGGCTGAGGTGGACAGGTTCGTGGTGTCCTATGTCAGTGCTGGCAACCAAAGGGTGCGGCTGGAAGTGCCCTCGGAGGCAGATGGGACCCTGCTCACCGATCTGATGCCAGGCGTGGAATATGTGGTGACTGTCACGGCGGAGCGGGGCGGGGCAGTAAGCTACCCGACTTCCATCCGAGCTAACACAGGTATGGCTGGCAAGGGGTTAGGGAAAGGCCGGGTTTCTGAGTGTAGGAGCTTTCTTGGGAGCCAATGTTTAGGGCTCACAAGCTCCTCTGAAGGCAGACAGAGCCCTCGGGTGCTTGGAGTCCTGTCAGAAGTCTGCAGGTTGGAGTACAGAGGAGTTGCCCCATGGAGAGAAGCAGTAAATGGGAAACGCTGTCTGACCCACCCAGATGGGGGAGGTTCTGGTACAAATTTAGGCACAGGGACAGCCCTTGTGCTCACAGTGCTCGGATCTTGTAGGGATCGGAATTAGGCAGATTAGATCCGTGTTCCTGTTGATTTTAGGACTAGGGTTTGGGGAAGTCGGGTTTCTTCGCAGTAATTTTCCACTAACCCTCAAGTTCTCTTAACAGATGCCCGGATCTTTATTTTCCCTGTGGCAGAGGGACGCCCACCTCGCAGCTCACATCTCTCTTCCCACTCCCCTTTCTCCCCTTCAGACACAGGGCGTCGCCCGCTGACTTCTCTCTTGTTTCTAGGGCACTACCAGTGGCAGGCTTGGAGGGCGAGGAGGGAGGGGCCCCGGGCCTCTGACTCCTTTCTCTTGGTTCTCTTTCCAGGTGGAGCTGGGGCGCAGGGAAGAGGCCTCTGGCTCCGGTGGGAAGGAGGGAGGAGGAGAGGGAGGGACTGCCGTGGGGAGGGCTGCAGGGGTGAGGGGGCTGCCATTGACCTGCTTTCCCCTCCCCTTTTTGCCCCCGGCAGCACCAGGCCACTACAGTTACCCGGAGGTGCGCCCCCCAGCCCCGCCCCCCAAGCCCCGTCCCCGTCCGGCTCCGGCCCCTCCGCCCGCGCGCCCCCCTCGGCCCCCTCGGCCCTCGCGGCCCGCGGAGGAGGGGGAGGAGGAGTCTCGGCCTGGGCCTAATCTGCCCCAGCCCCCTCGGCGGGCGTGGGGCAACCTGACAGCCGAGCTGGGCCGCTTCCGCGGCACCGTACAAGACCTGGAGCGCCACCTGCGGGCTCACGGCTACCCACTGCGGGCCAACCAGACCTACACGTCGGTGGCTCGCCACATCCACGAATACTTGCAGCGGCGGCGCCTAGCGGCTGCCGCCCCCGCCGGCTCCCCCTCCCCATTCCCCCGTCTTCCGCATCCCACCGCCAGTCCGGAACTGGGCACCTGGAAGCGCGACTCCAACCAGGGTATCTACCGCCTCTCACCAGAAGGCGTCGACCGAGTGGCTACACCCCGCCACCCAAAGCCCGAAGTGCTGGGCAGTTCCGCCGACGGCGCCCTACTTGTGTCCCTCGACGGACTCCGCGGCCACTTCGAGCGCGTGGTGCTGCGTTGGCGTCCCCAGCTGCCCGCAGAGGGCCCCGGCGGGGAGCTGACCGTGCCCGGCACCACGCGCACAGTTAACCTACCAGACCTCAGGCCCGGCACCACCTACCACGTGGAGGTCCACGGGGTGCTGGCAGGGCAGACCTCCAAGTCCTACGCCTTCATTACCACCACAGGTAGCATGGGCCAGGGCTGGTACCACCCATCCTCTGCCCAGCCTTGCCTGCCATTGGAGTGTGCATCCATGAGCCCCTTGCACTGCCTCACTGCTCAGACTGCGCCCTCACCACACCCTCTGCCTGCAAGCCCTACCTGGTCCAGGCTCTAGGGGATCCCACAACAGAGCACGCACTCCTGTGTCCCTAGAAGCCATCTTCACCCCCACCATCCTGGCGGATATGTGAGGCCAAGGAGACCTGGTCTTTGGTGTCCCCCAGTTTTCACTTGGGTTCCCAGGGCCCTTCTGCCAGGACTGCTGCTCTAGGAAAGGGCCCACCAAGACTCACTGGAGCAGTTTGGGTGGGAGAGGGAGAGAAACCAGCAGTTCCCTTCTCTGACTCACTGTGGTGAGGGTTGCTGAAGACTATGGTCAGTGGTTACTGTTTTCCACAATTTGGCCTTGACCTCAAAGGGACCATTGGATCTGCATGAGGGTGGCCGTGAGGCCATGAGGCAGCATGTGTATGTGAGAGGTGAAACCACCGCCCCTTGAGCTGCCTTCGCAGACCTCCTGGCTCACTCCATGCTTGTCTCTCCCACAGGAACGTCTGGGCTGAGGGAAGGGATGGTCTGGGGCTGCCATGGGGAGGGCTGTGGACCTCTTCTTCCCCCTTAGGTCCCAGATGCCACCTGAGCTGGACATTCCCCCCTTCTCACTACCCACTCTCCTCTTGCATCCTCCTTCCCTAACACACCGTATTCTTTCTTTTAGGCTTCTCACTGCAGCACTAATGGAAGCCAGGACCACCACCCAGTGTGGAGGGGGATATGTGTGAGGGGAGGGACATGGAAGTCTGTGGGGGCTGGTGGTCATAGGAACCTTGAGGTGGGAGAGATGGCAGGCTCTATTTCTTTTATTACCTGCAGTCCTGTCTGCTCAGGAGTGTGATGGACAAGGGTGTTCCGGCCTTTGGGAAAATGAGGTGGCCCTGGGTGGACCCAGGAGTGGAAAAGGGAGGAACCGAGGCTCCTAGAGGCTAGAGGGCAGAACCTGGGGGCTGGGTTTCCTTTCTGGCTCTTATACTTGACTCCTCTGTTTTTCTTGCTCTGCCTCTTCCCAGGATCGTCCCCCTCTGGCCTCTTGGGGACCACTGATGAGCCTCCTCCCTCAGGCCCTTCAACGACTCAAGGGGCCCAGGCCCCCATCCTGCAGCAACGACCCCAGGGGCTGGGAGAGTTGAGGGTGCTGGGCAGAGACAAGACAGGGCGCCTCCAAGTGGCCTGGACCGCCCAGCCTGACACCTTTGCCCACTTCCATCTGCAACTGCGGGTGCCCAAGGGGCCAGGGGCACATGAGGAACTACTGCCAGGGGATGTCCGCCAGGCTCTGGTGCTCTCACCTCCTCCTGGAGCCCCCTATGAGCTGTCACTTCGTGGGATTCTCCAAGAGGGCGAGCCCTCCGCCCCTCTTGTCTACCAAGGCATTATGGGTATATCCTGGCCTCTGCTCAGACCAGTGTCCTGAGGTTGGGGGAGGGGCTGGGCCATAAGGACTTCAGAGGAGGGATGGGGATTGAAGCACTGGGCTGGTGTTTGGGTCGGGGTGGTAGGCGCAAACCAGAAGAGAGAAGTTCAGGTAGACTGAGGAGTCCCCAGACTGCTCTAAAGCAGCACTGGAGAGGGAGGTCTATCTCTCAGGAAGAACTATGTGGGACCTGAAACTCCCCCAAAGATCTTGGTGTGGGGAGGGACTAGGACCTTTGTGAAGGGTGAGGAAGCTAGCACAGGGAGGGGCCAAGCCCTCACTCTAGAACAGAGACTGGGAGGAAAGGCCGCCTTCTCAGGAAGGCTGGTCACAGAGGGCTGAGGATGGGGAAATGGAGGCTTCAAGGGCGGAAGCTGTCCAGGAAGGAGTGAGCGAGCCAATGGGCAGAGGAGAGGGAAGGAGACCAGAGACAAAGCAATGGTTGAGTCCACCTGCTTTGCTTTTGCCCCCAACCCCACCCCAGACAGGGATGGGGAGAAGCCTGGGAAGTCCATGGCTCCAGCACGCCTGGGTGAGCTGACAGTGATGGATGGGACCTCCAACTCCCTGCTCCTGCACTGGACAGTCCCTGAGGGCGAGTTTGACTCCTTCGTGATCCAGTACAAGGACAGGGATGGACCCCAGGTGGTGCCTGTGGAGGGACCCCAGCGGTCAGCCCTCATCACCAATCTGGACCTTGGCCGCAAGTACAAATTCATCCTGTATGGGCTTGTGGGCAAGAAGAAGCATGGCCCCCTCGTGGCTGAAGCCAAGATCTGTGAGTGAGAGCAACTGCACACACCCAGGCTATTACCCTCTGCATGGTCCTGAAGGAAGTCTTCCCAGGGCTTTGGGTACTCCAGGAAGGCTTCCTGAATGTGGCGGTGCCTGTGAAGAATCCTGAAAGGAAAATAGTGGTGGGTCAGGCTGACAGGTTGAGGAGCGCACTGCAGAGAGAGCCTGTGGAGAGCAAGGCAGGATTTGAGTATGGTCTTGTAGGACAATTATCTTTGTTTCCTCTGGATGTAGAGCAGGGCCCCTAGGGAATTCAGGGGACTGGTCTTATGTGTCTGACTGAGGAGTTGGGAATGTCATTTGAGGGCCCTGGTGGGAGAGTGACATGACTAGATATTTATCTTACAAATAACACTGAGGCTGCTTTAGAGAATATCTGGGAAATTAGGTTGAGAACCCCCACACAAAAACAACTGGTGGTGACCTGGCTAGAATGGTGGCTGGGAAGCTGGATTGGGAGGTGAAGGAGAGCAATGAGGTCAGGCACCCCCATGTTTCCAGATCAGAGAGTCCTGCTTCCTGGGGCAAGTAAGAACAGAGGTAGGGAACAATGCAGTATGGGCCACTTAGATAGACATCTTCTGAGCATTTAAGTAACAAATATGTTCAAGACATTCACACTTACTCCTTACAGCAGCCCTGTGAGGCATGGCCATCTGATAGACAATGGGAATTGAGGCACAGAGAGGGAGAGGTCACTCAAGCAGAAAGTGATGGGGCCACGGAGCTGCACGGCTGCCGTCATGGGTCTGGAGAACAGAGAGAAGGCTTGAAGAGTGGCTGTGGGTGTCACCAATCCCCATGGGCAGGAGCCAGGATGAAGGTGTGGGAAGAAGGAACAGGGCTGCTGGAGCCCTGGAAGTGGCTAACCCTCAGGGCATGATCAGAGGAAGAGGAGCCTGCTGGGGGGAAGGGAGACAGAGCCACGGAGAGTGGCGTCCCAGATGTCAAAATGAAGGGCGAGGTAAGACATGCCAGATTCCTTAAGAGTGATTTAGGGCTGCAGAGCACCCACAGGACTTAGCAATGGCGAGTTCATCACTGACCCTGAGAGCTGCCAGGAGTGGGTGGGGCTGGGTTGGGAGGGTGATGGAGATGAGGATATGGCTACTTCTAGTGTAGATATCTCTTTCTTGAATTTGGGCTGGGAATAGAGAGCAAGGAGGAAGGGTAGAGGCTGGAGGGAGCCAACAGCCCAGCCCAAGACTTCCCTGGCCATGGAGATGTGGAAAGGGCTGCTGGGGTTCCCTTGTCTCTGAAGCCCCTCCCCAGGCTGTGGTTAGAACCACACTAGCCATATAGCATTTTTGTGCCACTTAGAAGAAGGTGCCCCATCCTCTAGGTGGGCAAAGCCCCTTGCCAGGGTGCATACTTGGTAAGCAGAGTGATGGCTGGATTCGGTCCTCAGTGTTTCTTTGGCTATGCACCTTGGTGCAGTGCACAGCCTCTACGATCTCACAGAGAATCACTGTATCGCAGCTGAATTCCCTCTTCTTTGACCTGCATCCCTCGCTTTTCTCTACCCGCTCTTCCTAGTGCCTCAGAGTGATCCCAGCCCAGTACTTCCACCCCGCCTGGGAAAACTGTGGGTAACAGACCCCACCCCAGACTCACTGCATCTCTCCTGGACTGTCTCTGAGGGCCAGTTTGACTCCTTCATAGTCCAGTACAGGGACAAGGATGGACGGCCCCAGGTGGTGCCTGTGGAGGGCCCCGAGCACTCAGTCACTGTCTTCCCCCTGGACCCTAACCACAAATACAGATTCAACCTGTTTGGAATTGCCAACAAGAAGCGGCACGGCCCCCTCACTGCTGATGGCACCACGGGTGAGTGGCAGCCACCTAAGCCCTCATGTGACCCCTCCAGCCTTCTGCACACTGGTCCTCAGCCAGGAACCAGTTGGGGCCTCCCAGTGAGACAGTTGACTCCAAATCCTGGCCCTTCTTCTGGGAGGGAGGAAGGGCAGCCCAGCCTCCCCCATCCTGCTGGACCCCTTCCATTCCATTCAGCTGCTCCGCAAGGCCCAGAAGGTGTGTCATACCCTGGCTGTGCCAGAATCCCTGGGAGTTCAGCACTCACACTAATGGAATAGTGACCCCCCAGGTATGACAGTCAGTCCAAAGCTCAAGCTCCAAGCCCAGCTGCCAGTTTCGCCCTGGTTGGAGCCTCTTAGTTACAGCCCCAGAGAAGAGAAAGGAGCTGCGGCGCCCAGAGTCCCCTGAGCAGCCCCTGCTGGGGGAACTGACAGTGACGGGCATAACCCCCGACTCCCTGTGCCTGTCCTGGACAGTGGCCCAGGGCTCCTTCGACTCCTTCCTGGTCTAGTACAAGGATGCACAGGGGCAGCCCTAGGCAGTGCCTATCATGGGGCATGAGAACGAGGTCACCATTCCCCACTTGGAGTCTGACCGGAAGTATAAGATGAACCTCTACGGGTTTCGCAGCAGGCAGCGGGTGGGGCCCGTGTCTGTGGTGGCCACCACAGGTGAGTCAGGGCCGCAGGGACATCCCTCCCCAGCTAGCCTCCAGTCCCATGGACAGGACCTGGCCCAGGACTCCTTAACACCTTCCCCTTGTCTTCCTCGGCTCTGATTCTGCCAAAGCCTCCACCTTCTTCCCTACATTCCAGGACTTCTCACCCAGTCACCAGCCCCTAACCTGTTTCTCGGCCCTTCTGCATCTTCAAGAATATGTCCCACGTTCCCCATTCCAAGCAGCCTGAACCATCCTTCCACTGCGGCTGTCCTCCCCACAGATATCCTCAGCCACTGTGCTCCTTCCCCATGTTTTTTGCTGGGCTTCTTCCCCTACCATGGCCTGGCTTGGGTGGTGGTCATTTCTGCACCTCTGTTCCCTGCTGCCCACACCCTCCTACCATCGCTTCTCTGTTCTGAGCTGGCAGATCCAAGGGATAAGAGCACCAAGTCTCCCCAACTCTTTCTGGTATGAAGAGGCCTCCCAGCCTCCTGACTCCCTGAATCCCAGTCAGCATGGAGCAGGGCAAAAGGCTCACTTTCAGCCCCCCACCCTGCATCCCTTCACGTGCCACCCTTGCCCTGCCCAGCACCAGTTCCATGTCTGTGTGGCATCATGGTTGGGAGCATGGGCTCTGGAGCCAACTGCTTGGATTTTAATCCCAGCTCTGCAATCTACTACCTATGGGACCTTGTGCAGGTTACCGAACCTCTCTGTGCCTCAACTTTCTTATATGTCAAATGGGGGCAGTAACGGTAACTGCTTCACAGGGTTGTTAGCATTAAATGAGTTAATACCCATGCAGCACTTAGAACAGTGCCTGGCATACCAGAACTGCTCTTTAAGAGTGAGCTGCTTTCTCTCTGACTCACTTCCTTCCCGAGATCCTTTCTTTCTTCCCCACTCCTTACCTTCCCCCTCCTTACCTGGGTTATCATCTTTACCTGCTGTCTCCTCAATCTCCTGTCCTCTACGAAGTCCCCACAGGTCTGGCTTCCCTCTCCCCAGTCTCCCCACTCCACGGAGCCTCAGCAAAGAGCTAGCTGCTGGCAGGTGGGGAGATGCCCTCGGGGCTGTGCATCTAGAGCCAGCCAAGGATGCACACAGCCCTCCCAACTCCCCCACACTCAAATCTTTCTCCCTCTCTTGTCTGAAGTGGAGGGATGGACAGGGCTTAGGGAGGCCTTAGCCAGAGCACATTTGGCCTCCTGTCCTGATAAGTGGGGGTGGGGACAGCTGGAAAGCCCTGGGGAGGGGCAGGAGCTGAAAGGGAGGAACACAGATGGGGAGAGGCCTTACTGTGCCCTCACTTTCCTGAGGTGGGTACTGTTGGTGAACACAGTAGAGAAGAAGTCCTCAGAGATCCCTCTCTTCCAATCTTAGCTCCTTTCTCAGACATGAGGGGTGCCCCCCCCTCACCCACACAGAACCCACTAGAACGATCTGCCAGCAGTACCTGATGGGGCTTAGAGACCTGTCCCAGCCCTGTCTCCTTCTATGAGTTACTCAGTGGTTAATGCAAAGGTTACAAGAACCCCTGTAAATATTGTATTTGCTAGACACACTTTGTTGTCATGATTAGTGTCACCAGCAAAGCAAGTCACCCTTTAAGTTTCTATCCCCCATCTCTTCTGTCAGACCCCCAGGAGGTCGTGGACGAGCCCCCCAGCCCCATAGAACCCAGCACGGATGCTCCAGAGCCCCCTGAGGAGCCCCTCCTGGGGGAGCTGACAGTGACAGGATCCTCCCCAGACTCGCTGAGCCTCTCCTGGACCGTCCCCCAGGGCCACTTTGACTCCTTCACTGTCCAGTACAAGGACAGGGAGGGGCGGCCCCAGGTGGTGCGTGTTGGGGGCGAGGAGAGTGAGGTCACCGTTGGAGGCCTAGAGCCGGGGCGCAAGTACAAGATGCACCTGTACGGCCTGCACGGGGGGCAGCGCATGGGCCCCATGTCCACTGTGGGCGTGACGGGTGAGTGAGAGTGGGGCCTGGTTACTTTTCTTCCCACTGGTGGCTGCCAGCCTCCCTGTGGCGATTGCTTTCCCTGCTGGGGGGAATCACTAGGTACCCCCTACTTGGGGAAGACCTAGCAAGAGCAGCTCAGTGGGCACTAGGCTACAACCAGCTTTATGACTTGAGCAAGTTTCAAACTTTCTGTGCCTCTATTTCCTCATCTGTTTCCTAAAATGGGGATGGTAACACCTCCCCCACGTTCTGTTGTGAGGATTAAATGAGTTGACAGACATAAAGCCTATGAATGGGCTGGCACAGAGCAAACATGCTGTCAATGTTCGCTGCTGTGATTATTATAATTATCCTTACTTTGGGGTCTGCTCAGTCCCCTTTGTCTAGTTCAGCTACTTGGATGGTCAGATGGGCGTGGGACATTGGCCTCTTTATCAGAGTAGCTGGAAACTTTGTTTACCACTCGTCCAGTAAGTGACTTTACAGCAAGAAGGAACATCCCTTTCCCCATTCTCCTGAGTATGGGGACACCCTGGCCACTGCAAAGGACCTGGCCTGGGCATCTCTGCAGGGCCTCAGTATGTGGGGACAGGTCCCAGGCAGGCCTCTGGGACCCTCCTGATGACCTGCCCAGCTTGGTCACAATGAACATCTCTTTTCTCCTTTGCTCACTGAAACAAAGATGTTCTTTTTCATGAACAATTTTACTATAAGGGGAAAGATTAAAAACCTAAATGCAGAGAAACAGGTTTCCAGAGCATGATTTCTATACTTCTGCTGGCCCAACCTCACAGTGACTTGGGTGGCTTAGCTTTCAGAACCTTCCACTCCCTATTTCTTTTCTTTCTTCAGGGAGCACTGAGAGCAGAGAGAGGGGAAAAACCCCTGAATCACCGTCCTGTGGGCTGCAGTAGCAGGGTCGAGGCTCACGCCAGGCCCAGACATGCTGCCAAGGTTTCTCCTGGGGTGACCCTCTGTCTGTCCATCTGCCCTGGGCAGCCACACTGGGCTCTGTGAGACCCTGCCTCTGGTCCCAGGCTCAGGATGGGCTTTGTCAGACACTGACTGCGGCTGTACGGTAGAGGAAAACTGAGTTTTGGAATCTGACAGAGTTCCATTCCCGGCTTCCCCAAGAGTAGCTGTGTGATCCAGCATGATGTTCATTATCAGAGCAGGAAGCTGATGGGCAACTGGCACCCACTGAGTTGACTGAGAAGCTGTCCCTGTCACACAGCACATGCTGTACCCTTGCTAGGAGAAGAAAAGCCTGGGCATCTCTTCTGGGCTAGTTAGTAGTATTTCCACATTGGAAAAAGATTATGCCCAAATGCAGCATGGGACTGTCAAACCTATGAGTGGTTACCATTCCACCTTTCCCAGTGACGTCAGACTACTAACAGTAAGGCTTGATATTGAGAAACAGCTTCTCTCCCTCATGGAAAGAATTACAGAAAGGGGGAAAACAGCAGGAAATGGATGGCATAGGAACTAAGAGATAGAAGGAAAAAGAAATATAATGCCTGGCCTGGCACCAGTCACCTAGTAGGTGCTCTTTACCTGGTGGTCCCTCCAGCCCCACCTGAGACCTCACTAGCAGCCCATGTTTAAAGCAGGTTTGATATGTCTGGAGCTAGTCTTGCCTTCCCATAGGAGCCAGAAAAACAAGCTCTTGAGAATGTGACCCACCCAGCCACCTCCTCAATCATTTTACCTTTTGAGACAACCTTCCAGGTTTGCTCGCTAATGACAAGTGCCTCCCAGACCCAGCTGATTCTGAGGCAGTGGGGACCAGCAGGTCTTGAGCCCAGGGTTTCCCAGCCCAGCTGTGCAGACCACCCATTAATTTAACACATTCGTGGAGTGCCCAGTATGTATTTGTGGAGCACTGGGGGCACAGCAGGGAACAATGCAAAGCTCCTGCCTCTGGAGCTCACATTGTAGCAGAGGGAGATGGGCACCAAATGCACACGTGTCAGAGGTACCATATGTGACAGTGGAGAGAGCAGGCCGAGGAAGGCAAAGTCCAGTGGGTGAGGTAGTGTTTGGGCAGGAAGGGACCTCGCTGAGGAAGAACCTGAGGAAAGGAGAGCACAAGTCACACAGGCCTTTGAGAAGAGTATCTGGGCAGAGGTCTGTGGACCAGCGAGGAATGTTTTGAAATGGGCATGTGGGAACCTGTCCCACATGTGGAACCTTATAAAGACTTGGCTTATGCTTTGAGTGAGATGGAAGCCATCTCAGGTGTAGGCCTAAGTGTTAACCACCGTGGAGGACCGAGTGAAGGGGGTGAGGGTGAAGGGGGTGATTGAGGAGGCGATCTTACAACCCAGTAAGAGCTCGGGGATGGTGGTGGGGGAGTTGGGGAGGAGTGATCAGCTTCTCAAGGTAGTGCCAACAGGACTTACAGACAGACTCGGGGTGAAAGAGGACTCAGGGATGATGCTGAAACAAAGTTGTGGTTATGCTGAGGTGGGACGCTGTGGAGGGAGCAGGTGTGGAGGTAGCCCCTGAGTGTGGTTTTGGATTTGTTGAATTTGAGACACAGATGAGGCACCCAAAGAAGATGCTGAGCAAACAGGATTCTGAGGGTTGGCAGGGGTCTACACAGGGGGACTTAGAGCCATTAACATACAGATAGAAAACAGCCATTTTTCCAGGGTCACAGTGACAGCTGACACCCCTTCCCCAAGCACAGACTCAGATTCTTTCAGGGACTGTGAAGGGTGGTTGGACAGATAGATGTCGCCAATCAGTGTAGTTTTACATCAGAACCACCTCGTGGGCACCGCAAAAACAGTGGACATATTTACTACCAAAGGTAAGGGGCTTTTCCTAATAGCCTCCCACTATCTGTGTCTCAGCTCCACAACCAGAAGAGACTCCTCCAGCCACCGAGCCCCCACTGGAGCCACGCCTGGGGGAGCTGACAGTGACAGGTGTGACCCCCAACTCTGTGGGCCTCTCATGGACAGTCCCTGAGGGCCAGTTTGACTCCTTCGTGGTCCAGTACAAGGACAGGGATGGGCAGCCCCAGGTGGTGCCTGTGGCCCCAGACCAGCGCAAGGTCACTGTTCCTAGCCTGGAGCCCAGTAGGAAATACAAGTTCCTGCTCTTTGGAATCCAGGATGGGAAGCGACGCAGCCCAGTCTCTGTGGAGGCAAAGACAGGTGAGAGGGGCCCCACACAGTGAGCCTGGGGCCTGGCCTTCCTGCTGCTTCTCACTGTCTGATCTTGCCCTTCTGCCAGGTCTTCCCTTTGTCTACCTCTTCTGTTTCATCTGAAAGGCGACACTGCTTGGCCCAGTTCCAGGCAAACAAGAGCCAGGAAATAGGGCTGGTCCTAAGTCTGCTCCCACTTCTGACTTTTTCTCTCTTCCCATAATTTCTCCTTCTGTTGAATGGGGGAATCCCCTTCAGGCCCCTTCCTGGAAGGTGGGAGAAGGAAGATGGGGTACTAGGAGGGGATGAAAGGAGCAGGAGCCCCTCCCTGTTCTCCCAGACCCTGGCCTTATGCACCCTCACCTCCTGCGAGTTTTGCCCTTTCCCCTCTGACTCTCACCCAGGTTTTACCCCACTGTCTCAGGCCCATCAGGTCCCTTATCTGCCTCTGCCCTCCACCAGAGCACCCCTTTCCTGCTGTGCCCTCCTCCTGGAGCCTTGGAAACTGGGAACAAGAGGATCACAGGGCTGGCTGCCCAGCCAGGCCAGTCAGCCCCACCCAGCTGTGCCCGTTTCCTAGGGTTCGGTCCAGGCCCTCCCCTGCCCCTGGGGGCTCCCTGTTGCCAGAAAACTCCCTCAATAACAATGCCATCAGCATCCTCCCTGTCCAGGAAGGCTGCAGGCCAGCTTGGCTCTAGAGCAGACACCAGCCCCTTTCCCCTTCTGGACTCCCCTTCCTCTCCCTACCATGCCAACAAGCGTAGTCAGCGCCCGCTCCTCCCCACCAGTCCTATGAGGGTCACTTCCATTGTAACGTCCCACCTTCCTGCCAGCAGTCTGTCCCCATTAGGGATCCTGTTCCCCCTCTGGTTTTTCCAGGACCCAAGGACTTCCCCAGGGGCCAGTCAAATCACAAAGAGCAGGCTCCCCGGTAAAAGGAAATAAACAGGCCAAGTCTGTGATGGCTGCACCCCGCTAGGGAAGCAGGGTCTAATGGGTGGGAAAGTCTGGGCAACAACAAATAAGCAGGAAGCTAGGGAACCTCTCTTCCCTGCTATGTTTCAAGTCAGAAGACCCCTTCCCACATTGGTTAAGGGGAGGGTGGCCGGTTGGGGATGGTGGCAGAGATGGGAGGGTGATGGAAATATTTTGGAGAAGCACTAATCATTTGGGCAGTTCTGGGTTTTTCCAGCCCCAGCAGGAGACAGTCAGAGTCATTTAGGAAAAAAATAAACACAAGAACCTTTCCTTTCTGTCAGCTGCCCAAGGTGACACCGGCCCAGGGGCCCCACCCCGCCTTGGGAAGCTGTTGGTGACGGACCCCACCCAGGACTCACTGCGCCTCTCCTGGACAGTCCCTGAGGGCCACTTCAACTCCTTTGTGGTCCAGTTCAAGGACAGGGATGGGCCACGGGTGGTGCCTGTGGAAGGCCACGAGCGTTCTGTCACCATCACCCCTCTGGACACTGGCCGCAAGTACAGATTCCTCCTCTATGGCCTCCTGGGCAAGAAGCGCCACGGGCCCCTCACCGCCAATGGCACCACAGGTGCGGGCATCCCCTGCAGGGCCAGGCTGTGCTCCTGGAAGCCCCCTAGGGAACAAGCCCAGTGCCCTGCCTGGCCAGGGCAGCTGCCTCCATTACAGCTGTTACCTGGCTCTGGCTGCTTCAGCTGGGATCCAGCCCCTACTTCTGCTTGCACAAGCACATGGCACCAGCCCTCCTATGGCAAAGCCATGAGAAGTCTCCACACCTCTCAATCCTGCCCTTCAAGGTCACCCAGCCTTCTGGAAACAGCTCAGCCATTTCCTCTTTGTGTCTCTTTTTCAGAGTCCCAGGATGATGTGGATGATGCTGGAACAAAGCATCCTCCAAAACCCCGTCTAGGAGAGGAACTGCAGGTGACCAGTGAGACACCAGACTCCGTGGGCCTCTTGTGGACCGTCCCCGAGGGCCAGTTTGAGTCCTTTGTGATCCAGTATAAGGACAGCGATGGGCAGCCCCGGGTGGTGCCTGTGGACGGCAGCCTCAGGGAGGTCAGCATCTCAGGCCTGGAGCCTGCCCACAGGTACAAGCTGCTGCTCTACGGACTGCATGGAGGCAAGCGTGTGGGTCCCGTCTCCACCACTGCCATGACTGGTGAGTGAGGCTGCAGTCCGAACATGCTGTCCTTCCCTCTGCCTCAGCTCTGCTCTCTAACCCAGCCACACAATTTCTGAGCTTCCTTGTTTCCTTCCTTTTAGGGAAAAGGATCGGCTTTATAAGGCAAAATTTACATACAATAAAACCCACCCACTTCAATCGACTATTTCAATGAGTTTTGGCAAATGCAGAAATCATGAAAACATTACCACAACTGAGACATACAACATTTCTGTGGGCCCCAAACGCCTATGTCCCAGTCCCCTTTGTAGTCAAAGCTCTTCCACCCCCGGCCTCTGGTAACCACCGATGGCTTTCTGTCCTTACAGTTGTACCTTGTTAAACACTTCATTTAACAGAATCATACAACACATAGTCTTTTGTGTTTGGCTTCTTACACTCAGCATAATGCTTTTGGAATTCATCCCTGTGCATCAGTAGTTAGGCCTTTTTATTACTGACCTCTTCCTTCACTTCCTCTTGAAGAGTTTTCGGTGCAGTAACAGACCAGTCACCCAACTCTACCTGTTTCTCTGACCAGCCCTCAGGGGAGAAACCGAATCTGAGACTGAGGCCTCAAGCCCTCCAGTGCTGGAGCCCCACCTGGGGGAGGTGACTGTGAAGGAAGCCACCCTGCACACCCTACATCTCTCCTGGACAGTGACTGGGGGAGAATTCAACTCCTTTGAGGTCCAGTATACAGACGAAGATGGGCAACAGCAAGTAGTCAGGTTGGAGGGGAACCGGAACGACATCACCCTCTCTGGCCTGGAACCAGACCGCAGATACTTGGTGAACCTCTACGGTCTTCATGGCCGGCAGCGTGTGGGTCCTGCCCACATCGAGGTCCTGACAGGTGAGCAAGAGGAACTCTGCCAACCCTACTTCCTTCCAGGTGCCTGCGAGAGCCCAGAGGAGAGCAGAGTTCCCCTGGTGCCCTTTCCGCCTCCCAGATTTTTCTCTCTCTTCTTGTCTCTATTCACAGTCCCAAGGGAGGAAGAGAATGAACCTTCAGAGCTTCCCACCATGACCCCCCAGTCTCCCACCAAGCCTTACCTGGGGGAGCTGGCAGTGACAGATGCCACCCCCGACTCCCTGCGCCTCTCCTGGACTGTCCCCGAGGGCCAGTTTGACCACTTCCTGGTCCAGTACAAGAACGGGGACGGGCAGCCCAAGGCGGTGCGGGTGCAGGGGCACGAGGACAGGGTCACCATCTCGGGCCTGGAGCCAGACCACAAGTACAAGATGAACCTGTACGGCTTCCATGGTGGCCAGCGGGTGGGCCCCGTCTCTGCCATCGGGGTGACAGGTGAGTAGAGGGTGGAAGCCCCAGGGTGGGACCCAGCAGGAGCATCACCTCTCTCTCGGCATGGGTGAGTGGGGTGCAGGGGGCCCCTCTGCTCCAGGCTGAGCCATGGTGCCCTGTGTGCCTCCCCCCCGGCCTCCCTGGGGACCAAGGGTCCTCCTGGGCAGACAGAGGCCACCGTGAACTGTGCTGCTGGCTGTCCTGGTCCCCCACAGCTGACCCAGCAGTCTCTGGGCATGTTTGTGAGATGTCAGCTGATCAGTGCCACCCAGCCCCAAGGTCAGGCTTCTCTGACCTGACCTCAGGGCCCCATCAGGACCCTGCTTGGACAAAGCCCCAGGGTACCTCCCAGGGACCCTGCCTCACCCTCTCTGTGTCTCTCCTCAGCTGCAGAGGAAGAGCCCCCCAGCCCCACAGAACCCAGCTCGGAGGCCCCAGAGCCCCCTGAGGAGCCCCTCCTTGGGGAGCTGACAGTGACAGGATCCTCCCCAGACTCGCTGAGCCTCTCCTGGACCGTCCCCCAGGGCCACTTTGACTCCTTCACTGTCCAGTACAAGGACAGGGAGGGACGGCCCCAGGTGGTGCGTGTTGGGGGCGAGGAGAGTGAGGTCACCGTTGGAGGCCTGGAGCCGGGGCACAAGTACAAGATGCACCTGTACGGCCTGCACGGCGGACAGCGCGTGGGCCCCGTGTCCACTGTGGGCTTGACCGGTGAGTGAGGGCAGGACCCCCAGTTGGGTCTCAGGAAAGTTCCCATTCATAAAGCCTTCAGAGTGTCCTTCACGGGAGACCCAGGAATCTTAACCCCACCTTTACCCCACCCTTTGTCCATTAACAGCTTAGGACAGGTGTGATCTGGGGAGTCCCAGGGAAGTGCCAGGCCCATGTCAGAGAAACCCTTGGGGACTGTGGCCTCCAGCAGAAATGCACTGACCTGTTTGTGGCTCTCTGCTTTGCATGGCAACTCCAGAAAGAACTCTTTTGGGGCCAGGACAAATGCCATGAAATATTCATTCATTCATTCAACAAATAGTTATTATGTAAAATTTCCAACATATACACAAGGAGAAAGAAGAGTATAATGAACTCCCATGTATCTATCACCCTGCTTCAACCACTTATTTACTCCTGGCAAGTCTGGCTGGCTCATCTACACCCTGCTGTCTTCCTGCCCTTCCCTCTTAGAATGTTTTCTTTATTAACAACCTCATTGAGGTATAACTTACATACCATAAAACTCACCTGTTTTAAGTATACAACTTGCTGATTGTTAGTATATTTACAGAGTGGTGCCACCATCATCACTATCTAATTTTAGAACTTTTCCATCAGCCCAAGAAGAAACCTGGTGTCTAGATTCATCCACATGCCCAGCTGTAGGCCAACACAAATCCACTTGCTATCTCTATAATTTGCCTTTTCTGGGCATAGCGTATAGATGGGATCCTACAACATGTGTTCTTTTATGCCCGAGTTCTTTCAAAAAGCATGTTTTTGAGATTCGTCCATGTTACAGCACATAGCAGTAGGTCATTCCTTTATAGCCAAATAGTATTCCATTGTATGGGTATCCCTCTGCAGTATTTATAAACTCATCCCAGATACTCTATACTTCATCACTATGTTTTTAAGTATGTTGCTCTTTTTGAAGAGTATTGTAGTGCTACCAAGTAGTGCCACAGTTTCCTGATTATCTCATAATTGTTGTTTTGTAATTTGTTGCTGGGATGAGAGGTCCAAATAAGGAAACTTGATTGCAATTAGGAGAATTGGAATTTTAACTAGAGTGGTCAGCATAGGCCCCCCAAAAGAAAGTGACATGTGAACAAAGACTTAAAGGAACTGTGGGCTCAAGCCATGCAGCATCTGGAGAAAGAACATTCAGGGAGACAGAACAATCAGTGCAAAGGCCCTGAGGTAGGAGGCTGCCTGGTGCATTTGATGGACTGTCAGGAGGAGTTGATGATCATAAGCAGAAATGGGTCTCAAGTTAGGCCCTCATGGCTGGCCCACCTTCTGGTCTGAATCCAGGAAAGCTTGGACCTCAACAACTCCTTTTAGCAACAGGAAAGATTTTGTTTGAATCTCTTCCCAGCTCCTCAAGAGGAGCCCTCTGCCAACATCCCTTTGAAGCCACACTTGGGAGAGCTGACTGTGAAGGGTGCTATCCCTGACTCCTTGCGCCTCTCCTGGACTGTCCCCATGGGCCAGTCTGACCACTTCCTGGTCCAGTACAAGAACGGGGACAGGCAGCTCAAGGCAGTGTGGGTTCCAGGGCACGAGGACGGGGTCACCATCTCGGGCCTGGAGCCAGACCACAAATACAAGATGAACCTGTATGGCTTCCATGGTGGCCAGTGGGTGGGCCCCATCTCCACAGTTGGTTTAACTGGTGAATGTGCTGTAGGACATGGGCCCTGCCCAGCTGGACTCAATTTCCCTTTCATTGTCAGTATTCAGGTGTTTTTGCCCCACTGTCCCTGAGACTAAGACTCCCGAGATCCTGAGAGTGGCTCTGCTTGTGTGTCTACTCTAAGCCTTTGGTGTCACCCAGCCATCTTACTCTTTACAGCTGGGCTTTTGGGGTCCTTGAAGAGTCAGGGCACCAGGGAAAGAGCACAGACTCAGGCAGACCTGGGGTTGACACTAGCCTCAGCCCATTTGAGCTGTGTGACCTTGAGAGAGTCACTCAACCTCTCTCTGCCTCCCTTTCCTCATCTGTAAAAAAGGACTAGCCACACATGTCTTGCAGGGTGGGCACGAGTGTGGCTTGGCTCACACTCAGTGTTCAGTAATTACAGGCTTCCCCTTCTGAGGAAGAAAATTAGTTGCTGAAAACCCCTAGGGCAAATTTTCATAATTATCATCAATTTCAGTGGGTAAAATTGTATGTGTTCCCCAACCACCAAATTGATACCACTTAAACTAAATCCCTGAATAATCCTGCTCTCATGGATACTGTCACTTCAATGGTTAATATTAGCCATATATGCAACTTAACAAGGTGCTTTCCTTCATTAATTATGCTTTCACAGGGCTGTTTCTTGCATTCATTAAGCTCTTCTGTAGCTATTACTCTGTAGATGCTTAAGACCCAGTTCCCAAACAGCACACACATGGGCAACAGGATAATTTTGTAATTATACTATTAAGACAGAATAAAACCTTAAGCAAAACAGAAAAGACAAAAGCAATTCAGGGCCACAATAGATCATCTGTGCCATAAGTTAGTGAAGAACCCAGTACAAGGTACGGAAACAACCCAGTTGCAAAGATGGTCCCCTGTGGTCTCATCTCTTTGCCCTTAACCATGAAATTGAATTCAGTGAAATTCTAAATTAGATTCTGAAAATGCTCAGAAGCCTTCCAAACTGAGGAGGCATTAAAGGAGAATTTTCATGAAGTGGAATTCCCAAACCTGTATAAATGTACCTCCTGATGTGACTTGCCCAATATGCTTGGTGCTGTTATAAAGCCCTATTTCTGCCCCACCATACAAATCCACTCCCAAGGGCTTGGAGCATGCAGACGATGGAAATCATGATGTAACCACAAGAATGTGCTCTGTCCCTGGTAACTGATCACTCAAACCAGGGAAATGATGTCTTAATTCTGGGCTTCGAGGTTCAGCACCCCGTGTGTCTGGGAGAAATCCTAAAATCCTGTTAGAAGAGAACCCACAAGGCATGTCCATGCATTCCTTTTGTTTCCTGATGCAGTCCCACGAAAGGATCGAGAAATGACCCCAGACCCAAGACACCCACCCACCACCACCCCCGAGCCTCCCACCAAGCCTCACCTGGGAGAGCTGGCAGTGACAGACGCCACCCCCGACTCCCTGCGCCTCT